AGGAAAAAGTCAAAATAATTCTATAATTTACATGTATTCGTCAAATTGAGTATGAAATTCTCAGACCCTGTGACCTATAACTCAGGACCTCTTATATTTATTTTACATGCTTAATTCATTATATACCAGTCTGAATTCTATAAATGATGTAAATTAGATTTTGATAAATGTTTTGCTCATAATAGGACCTTTTTAAACTTACCCCCCCCCCCCACCGACACCACAATCACACAGCACATACTTTTTGGAATAGGCTAGATGGAAAAGATTTGTTAAAACATCGTTTGTTATGAATTAATTTAAAATTTGTTCTTGTACTATACATGTTAACATGTAAATTTCTACATCACATCACGTTACGTCACCCATTATCATATTTTTAGATTAAACGCCATTCGGCACACCTCGGCCGATTCCCACTTCATCTGATAAGGTGATGGAATCGACGAAGGTTTGCCGAATGGAATAGCTGCTGCAGTCTGGTAATTCATTTTGTGTTATAATTGGATTATATTTCATGAAGTTGAATGGCAGTCGGTTAGCACAAGTTTAAGTATAGTGGGGGGTAAAATAAACCCAAACGATAAGTAGGTTAAAGTTCAAAAATGGTCAAAGATCATCGCATGCCACACAAGACGAATTTCATATTGTGAAGTTATCTCCCGTTGTCGATTTGATATTCAGTTACTGCCAATACTGGTGCGGATCCAGAATTTTTTTCGGGAGTAGGGAGGGGTGTTCACATCTAAGTCAAAAACTTACAGCCCAGAATTTCCTGACAAGCAGGAGAAAAAAAACTGAAAACAAATAAACAAAATAAAAACAATGATAGTGGGGTCAATGTTTTCTAAGTTAGGGGGGGTGTCCAAAGTCAGTTTTTACTTGCTTCAGTATATAGTCTTGTTTAAATAACAGATTCCAGGGGTGGGTGGGTGGGTGGGGGGTCCAATCTCCCTATCCACTCCCTGTCCCTGAAATAACAATCTATTTTGTGATTCCAATTAAATTCAATATTGACACAAATTTGTTATTATGTGGTGATGTAAATTTGCCTGTAGAAACAAACACATATATTTTTGCTGCTGTGCATAAATTTATTGACGAATCTTGTAGATTTTAAATTGTTATATTTCTGAACAAATATTTCTCTTGTATCTCTTTTGTATTTATATCTCAATGTACAACATGTATTTTAATTGCATGACATATAGTTATATTTAAGGAGAGGACCTCGTAAGTTGAAAGAACTTGTTTCCAATCCTTTTGTTTATACAATAAAATATGTTCAAAACAATTAAATAGTATATTTTTTTCCATTTGACTAATTATACATATTTTGTTTCTTGTGTTTATATTATGTCTGTCTATATGTCTGCAGAAATTATAATCTTGTCCATAACAATGCATAAGTTTTAAGTGGGATGGGCTATACAAATGGCTTCCACATTTTATAGGTTTATTTCTTGTGACAATTAAGATCTTTTATTTGGGTACCATTAATTTTTTCCTCTGATCGTTTGACCTAGGATACACATTTTTACAAGAAAAATACCAAATTTTAAACTTGGCCTAAATTTTGATCAGTAGGTGCTGGGGCTTTCATGTTTAACATGTGTATTCATTGTGAACTGTCAACAGGTATAAATATGTTTGACCTTGACCCTAGAGTTTGAACCACTTAAAAAAATAACCTTGGCAATTAACTTTTGAACGCGAAATACTAGGGATTACTTATTTCACATGTGCATTCCTTGTGACAAGACTTTCTTCTGATACCAACAATTTGAACCCTTTGATCTTGACCTTTGAGTCTGACATATATTTGAGAAACTTCAACCTTCGCCATAGGCTTCCATACAGGGACATCAGTGTTTCACAAACACATTTTGTCTTCATTATTATTTGGTGGTGTCTCCATATGAGGGAAAAATTTCCGAGAGAGATGTATTCACAACAAACAAACAAATTACTAAAGAAAATATAAAACATGAATATATTGGTCATGCATATCTCTGCATTCATATTAAACTTATCTACTAGTATTTACCTTTGAGAATGGCATGTTTTTTTTTACATATGACCTAGAAGTTTGACCTACTTGCAAAAAAATTAAATTGTTATAAATTCATCATTTTGAAAGAGAAAAGTTAGGGCATTCATATTATAATGCATGTATATTATTACCTGTGATAAGACGTTTCCAAATAAATCATGACTTTTACTCTGTGATCTTGACCTTAAAGCCTAACTTACTTTTAAAAAATGTTGCATTTGCTTATAACTTTTGATTAAGATGAGATATGACTCTCACATTTGACATGTACATTAATTATTCATAAGAATTCAAGGTGTTTCCCGGCATGCGATGCTTTTTTACCCTTTGACGTTGATGTTGTACATAATTTTCAAAATATTTAACTCTCCTAAAAGATGATTAGGCTTCTGAGTAACATTAAGGAGGACTTCAGGGTAGACAGGGCTTTTTGCACAAAAAACGTCATTTTCCACCCCCATTTGACCCCCCGGGGAAAAATTAAAATCACGAAACCTTACTGCACATCTACATGACACCACCAACCATCTCCCAAAAGACGATTAGAATACTGTGTAAAATGTAGGAGAATTTCTGGGAAGAAGGGGCTTTTTGCATAAAAACGTCATTTTTTGACCCCCATTTGACCCCCCGGGGCAAAATCAAAATTTCGAAACCTTACTGCACATCTACATGACACCACCAACCATCTCCCAAAAGATGATTAGGCTGCTGAGTAAAATGTAAGATGAGTTCGGGGAAGACGGGACTTTTTGCATAGAAAAAGTCATTTTCGACCCCCATTTGACCCCCCGGGGCAAAATCAAAATTCCGAAACTTTACTGCACATCTACATGACACCACCAACCATCTCCCAAAAGATGATTAGGCTGCGGAGTAAAATGTAGAAGGAGTTCAGGGAAGAAAAGTGTGACAGACGGACGGACATGAGTAACAACAATATACCCGAACTTTCTTTAGAAAGTGCGGGTATAATGATTAAAACACAAAGCTTTAAATTCTACACAACGGAACGCCTCTGTAAATATATTGAAAAAATGTTGAATTTAGAAACGGGGGTAAAATAGATGGAAATGTAGAATGATATTTAGACGGTCGAAAAGTAATGCTCTCATTGAATTAAAAAAAAAAACAGTCATATTTATCTTTAGCCAAATAATGAAGAAATTGTCTCACTTATTGATACTTTTCTTATCAGCATATCAAATCATGGTTAGGAAATATGGTCGGAATATAACTCTGGTTATTTTAAATAAGTGAATGTTGTCTTACTAAGATATATAAGGCGTTAAAAGGATGAAAAAAAAATATGTTTGATGCTTAAACTGATATTAATCCAAAACCTTGTTTTTTATATTTACAACTCCGATGTCAGTCTGTCTCTGGGTTATTCAAATTCATTAAACAAAGAATTAAAATGCATTCATGAAAATGCGAACCATCTTCTTCTAAGGTCTATCAGTTTCAATATAAATCATGACAATATTTGTGATCCTTTAAAAACCATGATTTGATATGATGTCAACATTAGTATCAATAAGCGAGAAGATAAATAAGATATTTAGCTTAAGATACATATGACTGATTTTTAATTTAAATGAAAGCATTGCTTTTCTACCTTGCTTTACCAGCTGTTTTTGTGTAATGTTAAATTTTCCACTTTAATTTAAAAGTACACCTGGATACATAAACTTGTGAACAACGTCAATTAATTCACCATCTAAATATCATTTTTCAATTTCCATCTATTTTATCTAATCATTTTATGTCTATTCAGCAAAATGGGGGGCTTTTACTAAAGCAATATGAACTGTATTTTTGAGAATTTTATTTTGATGGTAAAATGTGCTATTTTTGATTGATTACTTTGTATGTGATTTTAACACTTATCACCTATAAGCCCAAAATAAAGTTTAGAAATGTTCAAAAAGAAATATTTATGTACATCCGAATAAACAGTTTTACATAAGAAATCATTATTGTACGGGACGGCAATAATTCAATTTTGCTTCAATCAAAGCTAATAAAAAAATTTCCATAGCAAATATGAACATTAGAAGTTTTCAAGTATCAGCTTTTTAAAAAGCTTGGCTGTCTGAATCAATCACTATCTGCATGAGGAGCGATAAATCTTTTGAGCAATACTTTTAAATTTGTTTTTGGGAACCTTGCGTAATGAAATCTTGATTTCATTTAACCTTGAGAAGAATAATCTCTACACTGCATACTGGTTTTTATGCAAATGGAGCGATCTACCCTTGAATCTAAATGGAAGTCGTACCACCTATTACAAAATCTGCTACCAAATCAAGTACAAAAAAGGGAAATGCTTTGTTAACATTCTAAAAGATGGATATTATTAAATACACATTTTGTAGTGTATTTTCTCCACTGAATGAAACAGCAGTTATGTGTGTTAATAATTGTTTTTCTAAACAAAAGGGGGAGAGGGTAGTCCCACTTTCAGATATTGAGATTGAAGTAAGTAAATTCATTACTTAGACCTGTGAGGAAAGAAAAATCCAAGATTTGGTACTTGTTTCTTACCTATCATGTTTCTAGTGAGCATCCGAACAGAGACATATCATTGTTTATGCATTTGGAGACCATGACTTTGTTTAAATGCGTTGTTTATTATTTTTGGACTAGTCGGAACAAACAACAACGACATCGGAAAACAAATTGGAAAAATCATATCTGTTTTAGTTTTGATACTGATATAATATTATACGATATGCTTAAATTTTGGTATCTAAAACTTAAGTTCGGCATAGACTACTCTACTTATAATTATAAAAACTTTCACTGTATTGTACAGATTATCAGTTAATCAACTTTAGATAAGTAAAAACTGAATTAAGGTAACTTGTACTTCACCAATAGAACTTTATGCTTTACAAACATTTCATTAAAAAACATCGTTTACCCAAATGTTATGCTATGTTACTTACACGGGCTTTAAATACTGAAAATATTACCCAATATCAGTAATTCTTTTAAAAAATCTTATTTTCAAGTACCGTAATTTTTACTGGTTCTTTTTAGATATTTCTAAATGTAATTTCAAGTAGTGTGGTTGCTATCACAAATATGCAACTATGGAAGTACAATGTAGCAATTTATTTCATTCAACAAGGAGGCACGTACAAGAAGGCACAGAAAAATACAAGTAATTTGTAGATGTGAAAGAGCTCTTGAAATAAAAGACTGGATTCATTACCTCTCCAATTGATGAAGGAAGCTTCAAATAATCTCCATGACATTTTCTACATATTCCTAAAATTAATTATAAAAGATTTATCATTGCTCATTTTTTTCAATGCTCAACTTGCAATCAACTTCAATAATTATTTTATTGTTTATTTATATATATACATGTATATATGTGTGTGGTTAAATACATTATGAAGATGTAGCACATAAGAACTACATGTATTAATTTGGGTCTAAAATGCATTTGACATCTAAATAGTAAATATTATCATCAACACATGAGCTGATCAAATCAATCAATTTGTCTAGTATGTTTACATGCATAATTAGTCTACATGTATACTTTATAATTTTAAAAGAATGTATTTTTAAAACTTGTAAACATTCATTTAAATTAATACCATTTTAAAAACATGATTGTATGGGATTTGAGAACCCTGATTTTTGATAATTTAATTATCATATTTATTAATTACCATGATTACTTCAACAAACAATAAAGGATTTCCATTTAGCATCCTTAGATTTTTTATGACCACTGCATCATTAAATCAGAAGCTAAAAAATAGGACTTTATAGTAAAATCACTGCATTATATACTAGCTTTTTTTTCGCCCCGGGCTTCCTACCCCCCCCCCCCCCCCCCCGCTTTGTCTCATGGAAACAGCTTCAAAAATTAAGATATTAAACTGTAGTATTGTGATTATTTTTTTTATTTAGATTAAATTATATTCGGGAATATTATATAATTTAACTTACCAGAACCTATAGGTACTAAAGTTCCAAACTCGGAAACCATCCGCTTAGACATAAGAGAGTTGAAGCTCCGATACGGCTTGGCATTTCCCTGGTGGTTAGGATACTGACAAGTGGTCTTGGCGCGCCAATGTACACCAAGAAAGTCTCTGTGATAGGGACATACCGTAAATGTTTCCTCCATAGTGAAAAGTCCCACACGCTTACATATTAGGTCTGCTTCACTGAACACATCAGCCTCTCCTTTCATGCCAGATCGAATCCCATTTTTCAACAGATGTGTAACAATACCTCTCTTACAGTCTTTTAATCTAATCAAATTTTTTTCTGATGGATGCAAAGGCGAATAAAAACAGCAATTTGAAGTATAAACACTGATAGAACATTTTTCAATGGAGGCATCCATTACTGATGCCCTGTTGCATTATGGGAAATGGGAGATAACTCTTACAGTTAAATGTGAAGAAGGGGCTTAACTTTGGAAGCTGTATACTTGTTAGCATGAAGAAAACACATGAAAGCAAGAATTCTATATAAAAGCATATACTAAGGTGAAAATATTTTTATCATGGAAAACTATATGTAATGATGTTTTTCTGTGTTTTATTGATACAAAAAGGATGAATTTTAATGATTTTATATAGGAATTTAACCAAATCCATCAATATAACTTGAGTGTAAATAACACAAATATACAAAAGAAATGAACTTTTTCTTATTCAAATATTTAAATATGTTTATTTTGAATGAAAATTGAAAAGAAATAAACAGATTCAAAAATTAAAGTGTGTAACCCCTACATGGGACCCTGCCTGACTCTTACACGGAACAGTACTTAATTATATTTCATGAAGTTTATATAAAATCAGCTTGCAAAAAATCTAGCTCTCTAGGTATGATCTATTAGTTTCGGAGTTAGCATGCAAATATCAATCCTTATATAGCCTGACGCCGTGACGTCAGGCAATAAGCTTTGAACTCTAAATTAATAAGAATTCTTTATTGTCTGCATACGTTTACCTTTTCTAAACAGTGGCTGATATAATATAAATGTACACCCAGTGGGTCGGGTGGTAAAGACTTTTTTATATACATTCTTGAGATAAATTCAAGAATCATACCAGTGGGAAGTTCAATATAAATTGTTTTTTTTTTCTAGTTTTATCTTCTGTACTGGCCAATGTTTCGTTTACACCGAGTGCTTGGTTACTAATGTCGTATTCTTCCGATGTCATCCCTCGACGTTTCCTCCAATACATCAGGGAATAAAGTCCCCAATCCTAGTGATGGGGGAGGACGATATCTAAAGTTTTAACAAAGAGAAGTTATAACAGTCTTCCAAAATAACTTTTCAATTCTAAAGAAGAAAAATGTGTTTTGTCAGAGGAAAATTCTTGAGAAAGGAAGTCATCTGTTTTTGTATTACAAAAATGATGATTGATTGTGTGTTTTCTGCTTCATAAATATAGCGGGTAACTAGAGCCGAGCTCGTTGCAAAGCAACGAGTAGGTCTTCCGTCGGAGCTACGGACAGAGAGAAATGACCTTGAGTCAAGGTCATGCCACGTTCTAATGATAAAGCAATCTTTTAAGGGTAGATATCATCTTATTAAGTTTTACTATTAAAAAAGTGATAGTAAAGGAATGTTTGCGACCTTGACAATTAAAAATGACCTTGGGTCACACCATGACACAAGATGGTGATGAGCATACCCCATTTGTGTGCTACTGTATTGACAAATTCACACATGTTTTTTTCAAACAATGCATCCAGTCAAAATATTTTATCCTAAATGACCTTGATTCAAGGCCATAACACACTCTCCATGATTTAAGGCATATCTTTTTTTTAGATAGGCCTTGTCACAGCTAATATACATGTGTAAAAAGTTATGGTCAATTTTAAGCAATGTTTAAATTTTGGAAAAGCCGGATAAACTTCAAGGTCAAAGTTCATGATATACTAGTATTTGATATGATTTTATCACAGGTTACGTACATGACATTGCGATGTTTGTGTAATATGAAAGCCCTATCTCTCCTCATTAAAAAAGTTATGATCAAGCCTCAAGGTCAAGTTGTCAAAAGTCGGTGTATTTAGAAAAGAGTTGTCATAGGTAATTCATAGGGATAAAATAAAAGCCCTATCTCTTCTCAGTCAAAAGGTACTAGTATTGTTAATGTTTTTGAAAAGCAGGTCAAACTTCAAGGTCAAAGGGTAAAAAATTAGTGAATTTTAAAAGGTGTTGTCACAATTAATACATTTTTATATAATGGAAGATTTCAAAAGTTATGGTCTATTTAAAGTAACGTTATTATTTTTAAGTAGGTCAAGCTCCAAGATCAAGGTCACAGGGTAAAAAATCACAGTATATTTGAAAATCAGATGTCACAAATAATGCTCATGTGAAATATCAAAGTCCTATTTCAACTCATTCAATAGTTATTATCAATTTTAAAGTTCTCGTGACAGATGGACAGACTGGCTGTCGAATAAGGTTTAATGTTCCCTAAAAAATAAATACATGTAATTTGAACATGATAGATTGAGAAGTAAGAATAATTAAAAAAAAATACACAATAGAATATATTAGAATATAAATCAGGTTTCCTACATGAGATTTCCTTAAAGACTTATTAATACATATTATTCAAGAACATGCAATACATGTTCTTGGCGCTGCATTTCATTTCCGGAAATATGCATAGCATTTCCGACATTTTTTCATTTCATTTCCGACATTTTTTGTTTTCATTTCCGACATAATTTTGTTTTCATTTCCGGAATTTACCTGTGCTTCATTCAGTGTTTTCTAAGTAAGTGAAAATGGATTTTAAAAGTATTTATTGCAAAATATTGATAAAAGATAAAAAAAAAATTAAATAATAAAAAAACATCTACACATATATGCATACATGTGGCACTAAGTCTAGGTAAAAGAGTTTAATGAGCATAAACGTTTTCACCACATCTAATGTGCACAAAATTTAATGTCAGTGACAACAGCACCACACTGTCCAAGTCATTGATAGATTTACAAAACTCAGATAAAGGATTTCAATGATTTATTTATGAATTTTTTCTTTAAATTTTTCATACGTAAAGTATACAAATATGTTACTAAAAGTACTACATATGTATTTGAAAAATGTCGGAAATGACCGAAAAGATCGGTCATTTCGATGAGATGTCTCGTTACGGGGTTGGTTGTGTCATAAAAGGATTTAATTCGCCTGATTCCACCTCTGATTTTTTTTTAAAGTCTGTCTTTGCGCTGCTAGTGATTTATATTGTTTAAACAAAATTTAATTTTATAAAAAGAATTATTTTTAATGCTTATTTTTGACATATGCTTAAGTTATTAACCTATCAAATTGAGTTTAAATAGTAAAAAGGAATTTGTCACTAAGTATTTATCTAAGGAATTAGTGTCAATCCTCTACATCAAAGAGCGTCTGACTTGTATGTATATGATATAAATTGCGTAAATGTGTTAACTGAAATTTGAGTGAATCCCGTATGCTGTGTGAGAGAGTTTTTAGATCCGCCGTGGACTATCCCGGACGTGAACATTAGATGTACACGACATTCCTTCATCAAGAAAATATAGTTTTACTCTGGACTATTCCGAGTTACCAAAACGTTTGTGTGTGTGTCGGTGTGTGAGCTTTACAACCTGTCTTTGTTTTCTGTGACTTGATTTATTTTTCAAAAAACAAACTTTAACTTTTTATTGCTTGACTTTCGTTTAATAAATTTTCATCACAAGTTCACTTGTGTTTATTTAACCAAATATATTCTATTAAGATAATGATTCCATCTTCTTTGTTAACTTTAAATTGCTTGAAATATAGTGTAAAAATCCAGAATGAAAAAAATGAATGTTAGAAATGAAATTATTAAAAGTCGGAAAAGCATTGCAAAATTCCGGAAATCAAACGCAGTAAAAACTGTACCCCCCCCTTACCCAAAGAAACTAATACATGTATACACTTCGATGCTCGAAAGAACACTCTAATCGGCACAAATTTTAGAAATTAAAACGTTTATATATAGGAAAGTTTAGTGACGCATGCTAATCTTTTTTTCATTTATTTGACGACCTGTGAATAAAAAAAGTCGCGTATGATTGTTGGTTAACATTATAAAAGGTTATGGATTAATCATGGATTTCAACACCAGTCCTGACCTGTACGTACCTGAACAAACTAACCAAATGACATTCTCGACTCTGAAGGAAAACGTATCATTTGAGGGAAGGGGGGTTACGTATCACGCTGAGAGGAAATTTAATTATCTCTTTTAGTCCGATAAACACGAAAGAATGGCTTAGAATATTTGTATGCAACTACATGGCTTTCTCAGAAACAATTTTGAATTTGTTAAAAAAAATTTCTAATTATTCATTTTTTTTCTCTCGTATTCTGAAAGCTCGGAAATCAATGTATATATTCCGTGTAAAACAGCAATATGTATTTAGTTACCATCATATACCCGTAAAATCGTATCATAGTGATATTCTTTTTATTCGAGGAAATAAAAGGAATACATTCGGTACAATGCAATTATAAGTTATGTATCAATTCATGCAAATCTCCAAGTTGCTTCATTTACGATTTTCATGAGAATTGGAAACGTCACTTCCACTTACAATTTACTGTGCAATGTTTATAGGTATTTGCTAATTTAAACAACATCGCAAATTTTTCTGATATAAAGCAACTAGAATAACTTGATATAGGCCCGTATACATGTAACGATTGCAATTACTTCAAAGTGGAGGGGGAGACGGGGCCTACAAAATCGTCGTACTACGTGTGTACCTTTCCAATAATAGAATCATCCGCACAAATCAAAAACAAGTGCAGTATTGATATCCCCATTTTTTTTAAATACCAAGGGTAATGAGACTATAATGGACTTCAGAAGGGTAGAATTGAACATTAATTTATCATGTTAATGGTACATGTGCAATTAAAATCACTATCAAAATTGGCAGAGTTATCGATAGGCCATCCTGTGTCACCCTTCAGTGAACTCGTCCATAGATACCTCAGCAGATGAGAAAAGCGCGCGTAAACGCAGCACCTTTTATTCATTCGTCAAAGAATAGAATCCGACATTCAACACTTTTAAATCATGTTCAAGAAAACCTTAAAATCTGTGTATAGAAATATTCTTACGATTAGCGCAAATGACATGTTTTCTTGATCTTAAATCTAGGACTCTAGTAAAAATCAAAGAGCGGTAATGTTGACCTCACGAATGTATACAGTTCAATGCGCGATCGATAAACGGGTTTCATAACCATGTGATAACTGTACACACAAAACATGTACACTGTACACACGAAACTTTCAGGGTCCGAGGAAAATTCACGATTCATGAATTGAATGACAGTGAATTATCTTAAGCTTGATTTTTGTTTTAAATAAATAATTCTACATTGAATATTAATACTTAAAAATATTTTTCCTCTCTCCCGTCTTGTTCTTTACACTAAACACAGGGAGAAAGTTGTCTCTGAATAATCTGTATGACATCCAGCTAAAGAATACGTTAAAAATCTTATTTCAACAAAGTTTAACATTCAATTTAGCTTGGTATATTATTCTTATCCAGTTAATTTCAGTTATACGTGTTATACGCGTACGCATATAGAATTCTTCTTCACTTGCCGTATAAAACCACTTACCTGTACATGGACTATAAAGTTTTCTGCTCATCTAATAAAACATGACTAGAACAAATTAACGTTTTCATGAGATCAATAAGATGCTAAAGAACCCATTTCAAATCGATAATCATATTGAAATATTTACCGTTTTTAAGTTATAAAGCAAAAACTTTCGAGCGCCCTTGGCCCCTAATTTGAGGGGCCAGCCCCTTTTTAATGATGTGAAATGATAGATCGTAAAATTATGCACAATATTTGTGAAACATGTCTTAACAAATTATTTTTAGTTTAAAAGATACATAAGGAAACAGATGTAAATTTTTGCGCTTTTAGGCATTCTTATTTTTGACCCCTATCTAGCATCGTTTTGAGCGCAGAAATCGAAAAAGAAAAACCGATGTGCACAACTTCAATTCTTCTAGTATTTAAATGCAGAAGACATTCTGCTCTAGCTTTTGTCGTTTCTGAGCCTTTATCTGGAAACAAACAGCACCAAATTTTCAATTAAAGGGAAATAACTCAAAAGCGGAAGAGAATTTTTGAAATGTATGAAAACATTCAAATTGAGTTTTGTAACGTCCAAAAACTCTGAAAATTTGAGCGAAATCCGTAAAGAAATGAGCGAGTTACGAGGCCTCAAAGTTGGCGTCTAGGAAAAAAAAAAAGAATAATAGGAACTAGAGCAAAGCTCGTTGCAAAGCAACGAGTAGGTCTTCCGTCCTGCTTGACCGGAAGTAGCTTTCATTTTTCACAAAAATGAAAAATAACGCCCAAAAATGCTTTGAATCCTCTAAAGGTATTTTAATTAATGCAAAAAAAAGCAATTTTTTGCTACTTCCGGTTTGATCGGAAGTGACGACGATGCACAGAAAATAAATTTTTAAGCTCCCAGAGACATATGTTACCCGAAAACTTGTCAAAAACCTCAAAAATACGCGTTTTCCGACTACTTCCGGTTTGGCCAGAAGTGACGACGCTGGACGTATTTTGACGACTCTATTAGATTAAGCTTGACATTTTCAACAACTTTGCTTCTTTGATGTATAACAAATTCTCAATACTTTTTGAGATATCTGGAAAAAACTTTTGGCCCCTCTAAATCCCTTACTTTAGGGGTCAGCCCTGTAAGGACCTGTCAGATGTCTATAATTTAACTTGTGTACTGTGTAATAGTTATTGGGTGGGTGGACTTTACTTGTAATGATATTCCACGTGTGTCAAAACGTTGTGACAACATTGGCCGAGAATGTTAGATTTTGTATTTATTTTTACATGTAATGAATTAATTACCTTTCATCTTAAATCTGCATGTATTTCTTGAGTTAACTGTCATTATCTTAGCAGTTCTACATGTGTGGATAAGCTGTAATACTTTGAATTATCTGCTGCCATGCCACTTGTTTACATTCTGTCTGCCATATTTATATCGGCGCAGGCTATGTACACAGTTTCGTATTCTACCGAACATGTTATTTATGCTATGTCACAGGCATAATTACTTGCTATTTATTATGTTAATTAATATTGTGGGTTCTACTATTCATTTTAGCCATTATTATTCCTGATTACATGTGTCTACATCTTGCACTATATTTTTATCCATCCGCGATATCGTCTGCATACTCAGCAAGATTACTTATGTGAAATTTACTAGTTTCAGAGATAAATTGTTTACTTACTTATTATAGGCACATCTCTTGTTATCCATATTTATTGGTTATTTTGTCTTTTCACATTTTAATTCCGTTTTGTAGTTATTATATTCATTGTACGGCAGCCTTGTTTGGCACTGCTTGGCAGATCTCTGTTTGTACGATACCGTACAGTGCCGTGATTGGTGGAACGTCGCCGTAAAGCATTTTTATTGGTTGAATCTAGTCATGTGACCCTTTTCCGAAGGTTATACATATGGGCCGATTTCATTTTGTAAGCAGATAATTTGCCGAGTTGTCAGGCGCGTACATTTCAAAGATCCGCCCATATTTTCACCGTCGCCTTATATAGCATTACCATTGTGATTTCAGGTGGGAAAATGATCGACAATTATCTCCCAACACACTGGACACCTATTTAATTGTAATTAACTGTGGGGATCATCCTAGTATAGCCATTGTATACCCCCTCTTTTTTTTTTATAATAGTAGCCTGTACGGTAGACGCCACCAGAGTTTATTATTGTACCTGTTGAAATGAGAACTGATTTATGATTAATAAATATTGTTGAGACCAAGAGGAATCTTATGTTTTCCCAAGGAATTTAGCACAGGAGTACTACCAGTATTTATTTTGTAGCGTCCCTGATTTAAGTTGGCCATTCCCAGGGAGCTTACAGCCCTTTCTCCGACATATCATTTGAAAGATCTTCAAATTCTGCACAAATTATGTTCTATATATTTTAACAAAATCTTTTTAGGTTAGAAGATAAAAAACAAAACATAAGTAATTTTTGGTTCTTTTAAGCGCTCTAATTTTTTACCCCTCTATAGCGCCATTTTGAATAGAAAAATCGAAAAACAAAAACCGATGTGCACAACTTCAATCCTTCTATTATCTAAAATCAGTAGAATTTCTGCTCCAGCTTTAGCCGTCTGTGAGCCTTTGTCTGGAAACTAAAGCCTATTAATTTTCGTTTAAAGGGAAATAACTCAAAACCGGAAGTGACTTTTTGAAATTTTAGTCAACATTCTGATAGAGTTTATAAACGTCTATAACCTCTGAAAATTTGAGCGAAATCCGTTGAGAAATGAGTGAGATATGAGGCCTCAAAGTTGCGGTCTAGGAAGTAGAAGAAAAAAAAAGAATAATAATCTTTACCATCAGAATCAGTAGAAGGTCTTCCGTTGGAAACGGAAGACCTTAATAATCTTAACCATCAGAATCAGTAGAAGGTCTTCCGTCTGAGCGGAAGACCTTAATTAGGGGGGTGCTAATTTTAGCTTATTTTAGTGGTTTTATGGTAGCCCGTTAAAATAATTAGTACCCTTCTATGTGTTCATCTGCAAAGAATTGAAACTCTGTGTCAGCTTAAAAAAGTAACGCCAAAGTTATTGGCAAACCTTCGAGCAGACAAAAAGCCTAATTTTACGCCCACAAAGAAAACCCGCTTAACGTACCGGTATAGCCTTTAGGACAATTTCTCTTAAAGTACTGCAGGTACTAGGTAATTAATTTTCAGCACATGTACAACAAATAAAAATACCTATAGTTAGTCTTTAAGGTTCGGATATTACATATGATTTTGAATACAATCAAGAATGCTACAATATATTGACACAATTACATGCAACATTGCTTTATAAAACGAATGAAATAAGAATGTTGAATATATTTAAAAATAAAAAAAAATCGCGAAGTTATAGGGAAAATATCACACATATTTCTCATATGAATAAGTCTAATCCTCAACAATAAATGTCCGTCACACGAATTTATGTTGATATACAGGTAAGAAATACGGTATAATTTGTCCAAACCGGCTACCGCCGGTTCCATACATGTAAAATATGGCCTGTTTAGACAGAATCCGGTGTGCAGAAAAAATGCTGGACAATATTAATTTTGAAAATTTTGTTGTTTATTTACAAACCCCTGTTCATCATATACATAATATAATATATAATTGAATGATGAAATCAATCAATATTTTGGAGTCTAGAAATTATTTTAAAAAAGTCTCGCATGACTATCTATATTTTCTTGTTTGTTCACGAAGTTTGAAAATCCGGTAAAGTGTTACATGTACCTTTAGAAATCAAAATCTACAGGCACTCATTAGGCCTACTATATATATTCAGCGGACCAGGTTTCACTTGCCAAAGAGCTCATTCAATGTATAAACAGTAATGCACAATTATTTACGATGTGCTTATTATTTTTGGATTGAACTTTTAATTTTCATGTAAAAAATCATGTCTTCCCACAAAGTGTTATGGCGCCATTTTGAAATGTGTTCGATTTTCGATCCCGATTTATATTTTGTTTGTGAATCGAGAACATATATTTTTTTGTGTTTATGTTATATAATGTGGTAAAAGGAGTTAAAACAGAGTAATTTTTTTTTAATTGTAATTTAATCATATAATTTTTTTTTCAAATGGGCTGTGTCACCGCTGCATTTCTCTGAGTTCTTCTAATGACACTAATCAGGCAAATGTAAACACGGATTTTCACATCAACCACGAAAGGTGTTAATTGCTTTGAAGTAACTCAGGTGTGGCCGGATTAGAGGGAATAATTACCGTTAATTATGAGCAGTTGGGACCAGTATGGCCGTTCGGAATACAGAATAGACAGTATCCGGACTACACAGAATTTTTTCTAATGAATTTGTTAAAGAAGTGCATGAGACTAAAATTTATAGACGGAATGGACAGAAATCCGGAGTACACAGAGTCCGGATTAGACAAATTTTACTGTACTGTCAAGGGGAGAGCTGTAATGGACATCGCCTGATGGTCAACCCCATTCACTATTATTTGTTGAAAAAAATGTATAATTCAATAGAATTTTTTTTTCTATATTTTGTTCATGCTTTGGTAGACTCTGGCACACTATCATAGCTAGCAACGCACTAGATGCTAAAAGTATGAATTCTTAACTAGTCAAGGAATTAAGACATATCGAATTAATAACTGACTTAAAAAATAAATCGTACTTATCTGACAGATTATTGAAATTCATATAACGACATTTTTTTGACGAAATTGAAACTCTCAATAAGAAATTTTAAACAACACATATTTACAATAACAAGTTCATGTTGGTAATAAGGGTATTCTGTAAAATATATTATAAATGAAAATAAAAGATTAAAGAATAATAACAAGTATGCGAAACATTTAACTTTTTCTTCAAAGACGAGTGTTTTTTAAAAGTACATCATAAAATACACATCTATGTACAATGAGTCATTGATAAAATATGCTCTAATACTGACTCTTGTAGTAAAATAGCCTGTATTCTTAATACGATTTAAATATGTTTATTACATACGCTAAAATATACAATAAAATTATGGATATAACGAACAATATTCCAGCTCAAACATCCAATAAACTATACAAAAAATCAGAGCAAAGACCTGCCTCCGAAACATCAGTGGTGGGTGGGAACAGGTGCCCTTCAAAATTTACATTTTTGTTTTATCAATATGTGACACTCAAAGACAAACAGATACACAGAGAGACAAATGTGCTATTCCTTAACATGGCCATCGTGCGTTTAATACAATAGTTCCAGTTTGTCGACTGCAAAGTTGACAATTTGCATAGAAAACAAAACACAAAGACCTTCACTAAAGAATATATACAACAGAAAAAAACAGAAGTTATTGTGGGACTTAACGTCTGATGGTGAAGTAAATATCTGTCATAAACGTGAAATGACGCTATCACTGTCTCAGCCTTGCTGCCTTAGTTCCATTATATCTTGTTCGAGCTTTCCCTCGCTGAGTCGTAGTATTGCCTGAAAATATGAAATTGTAGAATGTTTGCTTCTTAGTATACAGCTTTTTCTGTTTTAGATTTTTATAAAAATAAAACTAATATGTTTATATAAAGAGAAAATTGGCAAATATATCTGTCTCTTTAACAGAAATATAATAATCGTGCCGTCATAATACTATTATTTCATCAATAAGAAAGGTATAGATATTAATAAATCACTATATCTTGCAAGAAAAAATGTTATTTCAATGCCTGTAACAGATGAAAGATTTTTGTTTCTTGTACTAAGCAACATATAATCACCCGCTAATTGATGATACACCACAATGCAGTGCAGGAATAAATTTTGACATAATTCAAATTGAAATATGCAAATGGTTGAAACACTTTAAATTTATCTTTCTGGGTTTTGACCTACGATTGTTACATGTTAATATAGATTTATCATTAGTTCACCTGACACAAATCTCTCCACTTCACACGACAGTCCTCTTTCTCCATGACACTGGTTGCCGGAGTTTTATGTTCCACCTCGTTCCTATAAACTCGGATTCTCTCTACGTCATCAGTTGGAGATTTCTGTACCGGTTCCGGTGTCTTCCCCCATCCTTTGGTCGGGTAGGGAAGGTTTGGTCCGAAGTTCCTCAACAGTTTGTACATAAGGGTCACATCAAATGCAGAAGATGTTGGAATCGATTTATCAACTGTACGATTATATGAAAAAAATTGAAATTATATTACATGTAATTGAATTTCTGAAAATTTTTGAAAGAAAACATGTTCTCAATATAGAACAAAACAAGTTGTTTGTTAAATAAAATCACATTTTTAGATTTTATCTTTTCAAACAAAAGTAAATAAATAAATAAGATTAATTAAAAGTAAACCTCATAAGATCAGTCACTAAAAGTTGAGCTTATAAAAATAATAATATACTATATGCACCTTTTGATACAGAGTTGCAAGGGCATATGTATCTATGGTTGCAAAAATATTTAACAAAAAAAAAAGAAAGAAACAAATACTGATATTATGTGAAAATGATTCTACATGTGTGTGTCTTACTTTTGTTTTTCTTTTAAAAAACAAGAAAATTGTCCATTCGTCTAATCTTTGCAAATTATTGAATATCTATATAATTCGAAAAAAAAATCTTGTTAAAGTTTTCCCTATTATTCAAGAAAGATCTATGATAATTTTGGCTGTAAATGTTGAAAAATGGCATGATTGTAATATAGAAAAAAATAATGAGAACAGCTTTCAAACAACTTTGATCCGAACTACCGGTATTTACATAATGATAACAAGAGGTCCATGGGCCTTATAGGTCACCTGAGCATCATGCAACATCTTTCAAATGATTGACTTTGGTTCATGTTTTAAGCTATGGCATTCACAATTTTGAAAGACGCACCATTGCTAATCATAACTATTCATTTAGCAATTGCTTAGTTTGTTTACTTAATAACCATAATCAGGGTAGGGGAACAAAAATGCATGTCCACTAATCAGTTATATTGAGCAATAATCAGAAGTGCCCAAATCACACATGAACCCCAGACCTTAGGTCTACGCATTGCACAATTTTTGAATTGAAGACACACTTGCTCATCAAAAATGTTTAATTAATACCGAGGAGCAGATTTCAAACATTATATATTTTCAGTATATAAGTAGAGCCCCCCCCCCCCTCTTTGGTATCCCTGACCCAGGGGCCTTGACTTGAAATTCACAATTCTGGAAGAAGAGCACTTGCACATCGTAATTACATAAATAGTTCATCTGCTTATTACCCAGAAGTAGAGAGAAAGATTTTCATAGATGTAAAGTATTATCACTATATTATCATTATAGAGCCACTCCCTAACACCATAATCCCTAACCATGGGGGCATAAAATTCACAATTTTGGTAGAAGCATTCCTGTTCATCATAACTATGTCCTTAATTAGTTTATTTAATACTCAGGAACAGAGAAGAAGATTTTCAAAGAAATAATGCATTTTTATCTATATAATCAATACAGCCCCGCCCTAACACCATAGTTCCTGACCCTGGGGTCATAAAATTCACAATTTTTGTAGAGACACTATTATTAATCATAACTAAGCACTTAATTAGTTTATTTAATACTCAGGAACAGAGAAGAAGATTTTCAAAGAATTTACGCATTTTCACAATATAATAAATAGAGCCCCACCCTAACACCAGAACAACTGATCCTTGGGCCATGAATTTCACAATTTTGGTTACAATTTTGGTTACAATCATACCAACAGTTTGACTGCTTGATGTCCAGGAGTAAAGAAAAAGATTTTTAAATATTGCACTAATTTAAGTGGTTTTTGCCCCACCCCCACGCCCCAGGGGGACAGGGACAATGAAAATCACAATTTTCGTTTCCCTTTACCCAAAGATGCCATATGCCAAATTTGGTTGAAATTGGTTCAGTGGTATCAGAGAAGAAGCTGAAAATGTTCAAATGTTAACGCACGACACACGACGGACGAAACGTGATAGCAACAGGTCACCTGAGTTTACTCAGGTGACCTAAAATGAGAAGAAATGCATACGATAATAATCTAAATTCCGGAATACCTGGAAACAGTAGATCACATTGGTCTTTATTGAGCTGTCTACTTAAGTTCTTTTTCTTCTTCTGAAGTAACATAATTAGCTCTAATGGAGGAAAGACTTTGTCAAAGTATCTCTGAAGAGCTTCTCTGCCGATTTTTGTGAGTTTTTCAAAACACTGAAATCTGTATGTTCTCATTTCCGGTTCAGGAAGATTCCTACAAGCCCCCTTTTCAACTAGTGCGTCTGGGTCTGATGTGGAAAAGAAATGCATAGAATTCAACTGAAAAAGTCTCAGGGTCATTTAAGAACACAGAGACAAGTACATGAAAAAAATAAAAATAAAATAAAAATACCTGTTAACTCTGCAAGTACATCCTAAAAATATAAAACAAACATGTGAATAATATTGCATATATCAGAAGTAAACCATTTATTTTAAAAAAAATAACATTTCATATCCATGTAAGAATGTAAAAAAAAAATTGATAATTATTATATTATTATATTATTTTAAAGATTCAATTGTATTATTTTGTTTTTTCACATGTGTATAGCAATATTCACAAAATCGCAAATCTACAATAGCTTGTCTGCAAAATGAACTTATAAAATGGATATATTTTATATGTCTTTATTTGACACATTTCATGATTTTGTTGAGCGATCGTATTCTTGTCCATTGAAATATTTGTGTGCGAAATTTAATATCATGTTAAAAATTAATACATGTAGTCACGATGTTTAGTTAATGGGTACTAACTGATCAGTTACTGAGTCTTGTAACGGTATGCTTTTATTATCCTCAGTACTATGAAATGAAACTAAGGATAGATTCAATATGAGTTGTAATATGAAATTTGCGTCAAAATCATGGAATGAGCAAAAAGCATGGAATAAAAATAGTAAAAGATTATTTTAAAAGATCTAACATATATACAATACCGACAGGACACAGCCTAACAGACAGCAAACCCGGAGCGTACCCACGGGTTCGCTGTCTGGGTCCGCTTCGGATTCGCTCGGGGTCCGCTATTTATTTTTTTAAAATTCCGGTAAATATTTATGACGACGTTTTAACCTGTAACTACAATAAATGAAATCTAAATATATCATGTGAACAAACGGTTAATTTATAGATGCCATATCATAATTCACGTATTTAGCAAACATTCAAATTACGATTCAACAAAACTTAAGAAATAACAAATATAATTTTAAATGATACAACTCATGAATTTCAAGGCATTTAGTTTAGATGCTTTTGTCAGTTTCACTTGAACACCATTCGAAACTTTGAAAATAAATTAAACACGTCTTTCTTGCTCTTCTGTTTTTACGTTATAACTAAAGAAAAACAAGATGTGTTTGTGAAACACTGATGCCCCCGTATGGCAACATAGCGAAGGTTAAGCTTTCTCAAATGCAGATCAAATATGTTGGTACTAATTAAGGCCTTTTTACAAGAAATGCGAAATATAAAACGCTAGCTACACCTGTTCCAGGGTTATGACCAAGGTTAACATCTTATAATACAGGACAAACTAAATTTCAAGGTGAAAGGGTCAAGGTTGTTGGGTTCTAAAGAAAGGCTTTGTCTCAATGATTACGTATGGGAAGTATGAAAGCGCTGGCCCTTACCGTTCAAAAGTTATGACCAAGGTTAAAGTTTGTAAAAGGTAGGTCAAACTCTAAGGTCAAGGTCAAAGGGTCAAGATTCTTGATATCCAAGAAAGGTCTTGTCACAAGGATTACACATGCGAAATATGAAAGCTCTAGCCCGTACTGTTCAAAAGTTATTGTCAAGGTTAAAGTTTGTAAAAAGTAAGTCAAACTCCAAGGTCAAGGTCAAAGGGTCAAAGTTCTTGATATCAAATGAAAGGTCTTGTCACAGGAATTAAATTTGTGAAGTATGAATGCCCTAGCCCGAACCCTTCAAAAATATGGTCAATGTTGTATTTTTAAAGTAGGTCAAACTCCAAGGTCAAGGTCAAAAGGTCAAAGTTCTTGGTATCCAATTAAAGGTCTTTTTATTAGGATTATATATGTGAAGTATGAAAGCCGTAGTAGTTATTGTTCAAAAGTTATAGCCAAGGTTAAAGTTTTTTCATAATTACGAAAATCTCCAAGGTCAAGGTCAAAGGGTCAAAGTTGTTGGTATTAAGTGAAAGGTCATTTAACAAACATTACATATGTGAAGTATAAATGTCCTGGTGACTACTGTTCAAAAGATATGGCCAAAGTAAAATTTCAAAATTTTCATGTAAAAGTGGGTGAAACTCAAAGGTCAAGGTCAAAAGGTCAAATTTGTTGGTACCCAAAGAAAGGTCTTGTCACAAGGAATACACATATGAAATATGAAAGTCATAGCTCCACTAAATCAAAAGTTCTGGGCAAGGTTAAAGTTTTTGCGGACAAACAGACAAACAGAGAGACAGACAGGCAGAGAGACAGACAGACAGAGAGACAGACAGACAGACAGACACGACAAAAACTATATGCCCCCGAAACTTCGTTTACGGGGGCATAATAATTGCCTAAAAAGCCGCTGTTTGTTTCACTGAATTTCTCGGGAGCGAAATTCCGAGATCGGAGAAATCAAGGAGATCAATTATGCATCTAAATCAACGTCGAATATACAGTTAAATTTTGGAAATTAATTTATCAATGTTCTCCATAATGTCACTGTAAACATGTACAGTGTAGATGTATCGATCACCGCATAAACGACAATGATCGATCCACACACAATACTATTACTGTATTAGAATATACAAGGGGAGGGGCTTACTGGGGGTGAGATTAAAGCGGGGCCGCTTCACTCATCAGTGCGTAAAGCGGTCCCAGAAAGCGAACGCCGGTTTCACTCTAGTGGACCCGGAGTTTACCCCGAGCGAACGCAGAGAAAAACCGGAGCGTACCCAAATCGCATCCCGATCGGTTCCAAATGTCTGAAAGCGAACCCGAGGCTGACCCCAAGCGAACCCGGGGACCGTTTCGGGTTCGCTCTGGTGTTGGGTTGTGTCCAGTCGGTACTGTATGCCAGATTTTTAAAATATTTTAAAAGTACTCCTGATATATATAAAAAAGATATTTGATTGTTTTAAGTATTCATTTTTCATTTGTATTTCAAGTTCTAGAAATAATATTGCTATCGATGGAATATTATCAAAATGAAGTTTCACACTTAGTATGTGATTAAAATATAAATTTGGAACATAATGGTTTGATTTTTATTTATAAAATATCACTTTAAATCGTTTTTTATCACCCAGAACTCACCATGGATCGAAACGTTTTTACCATGCATTAAAATCATTGATATGAATAAACTCTTATCTTTTATAAAAAAAATAAACCTAAACCTAAATTTTATTCACAATATTAAAGTTGTCCGAAGCAAGGTATGTTTCCGATGCATGGTTAACTCCCTATGTGAGATTTATGTGAATCCTAGTTACCAAATGCAAATTCACGTAAAAATTATTTAATATATTGCAAGTATTCAACAAATAACTGTGTGCATGTTTTAGTGATTTTAGCATATTTACATATACTAAGTATACCAGTGATTACCAAATTCCAGTAAGACAGAAGAACTGATTCATGTAGAATGTGGCTGTGATTCAGTTCATGTTTTGGACACAGCATAGTACCCTTCTTTAACAACTCTTCTTCTTCAACGAAGCAATCATCAAATTCGTGAAACACTTCCTGCTTTGAACATTGGAAACCAACAGTGTACATATCGATTTTTTTGTGAAAATTCCTGAGCAAATCATTTAATAAATCTGTGATAATGTTACGAACTTCCAATACAACTTGTTTGGTAACCAGAGTATTTGTTGGTTGAAAAACCTGAAGTTGTATGGAGGAAGGGTTCACTGCCAAAGCTACCGCATGTTGCTTATACGCAAAACAAGCAACGTTTTTGTAAAGGCAACGTCCATTGTCTTGTAAAACTCTCCATTCTCTGTTGGTTCTTGTCAAGCAGGAAACGATCAGACGGAAGTAGAAAAAATATGGCAAGAATTCGAATCGAAAGACCAACACAGGCGTTTTGTATTCCAGAGAGTGGAAATAGTTTTCCTCAGCACTTCCAAATGTGCGCTTATTCATACACGGAATATAATGAGCAACTGTACCAACAGCAATTAAACCAAGACGTTCCATATATTGGAGAAGATGTTCTTTGTACTGGTATCTATTCCAGAAATCCGATGCAAAGTTTCGCAATTTCCATATGTTGGTCAAAAGAGTGTCCAAGATATGCCCACTCGTATAAAAATCCAACCACTCACGCCTGTTTTCTGCAACATCCCTGACGTGGTTCGGGTCTGTAATTATGTTTTTGAAGGAATCAATGAACCACTGGATATCAAGGATAACTGTGTCAGACAGTGCTCCCTCATTGAAGTAAAGGATGACCCCAATGTCATGGTAAAATTTCAGGACGTCTCCCATTTTCGCACTTTTAACTTCATTTTCACTGTAGCACTTTTTGGATAATTCCTCGATTGATATCATTTTTGACCCCCTTTTTTTCAATTCTCGAAAAACAACCTCACATAAAGCCCAGTCGGTGGGGATGTTTTCTTTCCATTTTTCCTCTCTTGCAATTTCAATAATACACTTTTCTAAGTCAGAAAGTGTATCATTAAAAGGTGTACCATCTTCATGGAAACCAAGAACAAAGCACCTCTTCCGGTCCAAGAGCTTCTTCAAATGTTTGTTGAACTGCAGGCGATCCAGTATTTTGTTATAAAACGTATCAGAATTCTGCAGAAGACACATAGATTTATACATGTATTTTTTACTAGAAAGAACTCTATACGCAAGATTTCTTCTTTAAAATAGTTTGTGTAATTTTAAGTAATGAATTATTTGTCTATGATTCAATGGAAGGCATGATTCCAAATTACATCTAAAAATAATATTGCATGTATCAAGAATACCTGGCCTTTGACTTTTTCAAAATGAGTTCCTACGATGACAACTGGAGCATTACTTTCACAATAGGTGTGGACAGACTTAAGCCAAAAAAGGATGTAGTCTGTGTAAAATAAAGTTGATGCAATTATATTTAGATTCCAACTCTTTTTCTGTGTTTACTCCCTGAATGTCAAATGTGCCGATTTTCTCGATTTTATAAAAGAAAAATCTAAATTTTGACAAATGAAGGGCAGATGGCTCATATGCAGGGGAAAATCTGACGGATGCCATTGTATCTGATCATGAAGTCAATGGGCAGGACTACGATCGAAAACTAATAAAAATGCTTCATGTAGTTTTTATCTATAAAATACCATTTTAACTTATTTTACCTTTTCTCTTTCATAAACACGACGGAAAAAGCTTTGTCCACAGGTTCAGCCTACTAAACATTTTATATTTTATTGTCAGCGTTTCTTGTGTGGAATGATTACCTCGGGGTTTTCACGATTCTTTCCTTAAATACACAAGTGGGGATAGGTTATGGAGGACGTTAATCTACATGCACCTGTAGCGTCAATAGGTAAGCAAATTCTCCCATGTTTTAAATGAAGTTAATGAACTGGCAATGTATATAGATCAGACCAACGTTTAATTGAGGTTTACTTCATTTTATCGGCCTTGAAAAAGGAACTTTTTTAATAGAACATCAATATAGCCGAATGTAGAAAAAATTCATGAAAGATTTTCATAATAGGTGACAATAGACAGAAAAACACGTAGATTCACAAAATGTTGTTCGCATTATATCTTCATGTAAAATCCCGTTTAATGATGAAGAAAATCATACTTTCTGGTTCTATATTATCTTTCATAAATGAATAAGCAGCTAGATAACTATTCCCAAGGGATTAATTGCACTGCTCTCTCATCCTTGTCTTCTAAATTTACAAAAAGAACTTTTTTTACCTCGGACAGAATGGAGTTATAATCTGATTACCTGTTGAAATTAACAACATTAAGGCAGAAAAAAATTAAATTAAATAAAAATATAGCTTACAAAATGAAATAGTAATAATAATAAACCCTATCTTTATATATATCTTGATTTTAGAATTCAATAAAATTATTATAAGTCATTCTGTACATTATTGTAACCAAAATATATATGAACATTATTTTAGATCCATATTTCAGAGAATGTACACTTCAATCAAAATTCACCTTAACTTCAAAACAATGTTCATTTGCAGGCAGAAGCTTTACAGTTATTAATCTCAATGTGACAGATAAAGATAATGCTTAGAATTTTTTTCGTGTGGTTGGTCAATTAATCCCAAAGGTCTAAATGTACAGCCTGCCTTCCCACTTTACGATGGTAGCATTCTCAGCCGATATCTCTCTTTGCCCATTCATTCTTATGCATAGTTAAGGCATCTAACCCCCCCCCTCCCCCAGCTCCAAACAAGGAGATATATAGAACCAAACGTAGCATCACAATTTGTATTTCTGCGAAGAAACATACCATCATACTAAATTTGAACTTGATTGGGCAACCATAAAAAAGTTATTAGAAAAAAGCAGAAAATTTGTGGACGGAAGAATAACAGATGGACAGACAGACAGCTAGACAGACTGACAGACGGATAGACCGAGTGATTACTATAGGGCACCCGCAAATCCTTGTGGCCCTCTAATTATTTTTTTTGAATTGTGTACGGATATTTTTTTTTTCATTTTCCCGATATTGACAGGGTTTATGCAGTAGATGTTAACAGTCGTCAGGTTATTCTCACTTTCCTGAGACACCTGATCACACCCCGCTTTTAGAGGTCCGTATTTCTGTCCCCCTCTCAACATTTTAGTGTTAAATTGTACTTTGAGCATAAACGGTCAATTTTTTGGTCAGCATTAAGTCATATTGGTTCGACTAATCGTAAACACTTGTAAATAGAGAAATAAGATGTCACATGATCTTTCAGAACATTCACATTAGACACAACACAAACAAACGCAGAGATCGTATTTAGTTAGGAATGTGCTAATTTTATGAATAAAATATAACATCCCTGACATGAATAAACACAATCTCGGTTTTGGTGTAATTCCACGTCGGAAGAATATCGTAATTTATTCTACTTTCAGAAATACACAGCTTGCCTATCATTCTCTTAACAAAAGGCATTGTAATATATTTATTTAGTCTCTTACCTCCATAGGTCCAGTCAGCAAACATTGTCCCCTCTTGTTCACACAACGCTGGGTCAATCTTCTCATCAAATGACTTAGACATATCTATCACCAGTAGATAGAAAGCTCTTCTGCTGAGATAGACCTGATGACAGGCGTAGTAGGCACACTGTCCTCCAAAATCTACCACACTCAGAATCTGCCTGTCGTCTTTGTCTGTACTGTCTGATAATGCTGTAAAAACGATTTCATGAACTACATGTAATCGAAAATTGAAACTTTCTTTTTATCAAATTACCTACATCAATGGATGTCATGTATATTAAAAAATGTCAATGTTCATTCAAAATTGAGTTGAACATGACTTACAAAATGAATTGAATTTTTTGTGTGTGAAAAATTTGAATAAAATATGTTAATATTTGAGAATAATTAAAATTTACTTGTTACGCGTCATTTGATTGGATAAAAGATTTTATCAAATTTGTAATAACATAACTTGCCTACGTCACAATGAGTTACGAAAAAAAAAAAACGTATTACTCCGCTTGACGTTACTTTTAAAATTAAGTCAATGTGTAGCCTTATTCTGGGGGAAAATTGTCTCATTGTCTGCACTGAAATTAAATTATAAGGAATAAAGCTAATTTCAACTTATATTATACGCATAACAAAACTTGGGGTTGTTTACGCTTTTTAATAAACCGCTTCGCGGTTTATAAAGCGTAAACTGCCCCATGTTATGTTATATCGTATAATATAAGTTGAAATAAGCTTCATTCCTTAAATAATTCATTCTTCGTATTGATTATAACATTCTCAATATGTAATAGTATACATGTACATGAGTTTGTTACAACAGCTGCGCAGCACGGTGACATCATGTTGAAATACTACATTTAAAAAAAAACAAGCTGTAGCTCCACTGATATTTACTTAACAAAGTAGAACTTGAACGTAAAACTATTGCGACAGCTATGTAAAATAGAATGACGATCCTGGTTTAAGGTAGGAGAAAAAAACCCTGGATTCTATTTCAACCAATTTCTTAAAAGGTAAAGAAGAAAAAAGAAAAATATTACTATATTGCCAACAATGAATGATCCCTGTAAGAAAATAAGTTTTGGCATGGCTGCGTCATATTTTGTGAAAAAATCAGAGAATCCTATATATGTATATTGGTCACTCGGGGGCTTGCATTTTGGACGTAACAGTCTGTTATAAAATGCTATGTAACTTTGTTCCATAAATTGTAGTTGATATTTGGAAACATATATACAGAGTCACTATCCTTTATGAACTACAAAGGTCAAGATCATATCAAGAGATCAAAGGTCAAATATTGTAACGTCATCTATTGAACCTTTTAGATTTTATGCCATTGAATTTTTTTTAATTGCCGACATATCTGAAACCAGTGTTTCAATTTTCCTTTTTTTTTTACACATTTTATTCTAGGACCCATTTAAATAATTCTGTATTTTTTTGTAAAAATTGAATTATACATTTCTTCTTATGGAACCTTAAACTGTCGGATAATTACATATGAATTATCAATTCTGAAGCTATGTATGTTTTATTTTTACTGAATATTTTACTCAGATTTTCCAGTATTTATTTGACTTACCGATTCAAAGTAAAAAAATGGTTATGTTTATAAAATGTATTACACTAATTTGCAAAAGATCAATCGATATTTCTAAAATAAGGCTTATTCTCTAGTCCAATTTCACAATCTTCTTACGGGGGTCTGATAGGCCATATTTAAGACTTTGTGGGGAAAATATGCGTGGTCGAATTTCTTTCATATCATACAGAAAGAGAGATTCTGTATCCTAGAACAAAGTATCAAAGTTTCGGAAAAATGGAATTTAAGGGAAAATCTAGCCTATCTATTGTGTTTTACCTTATGTCTCTTGACGTCAATTTGACAGCAATTAGACAAAAGTTGTTGTAGAAGTAGCCTTTTGAGAGTATTTCAAATTTCTAAAAATTGTAAACATAGCAACACCATGTGCTTATACTAAAAAGAGATACGACTGTATATTGGTGATGTTTACTGGCATTCGTATGAAAGGTTTTGTTTTTAAATCGAAGAAAAAAGGTAGGATATGTAGCATTTTTCAAAGAATTCTACATGTACGAAATTTCTGTTTTGGTAGCCCTCTTCCAACGTTGTTTATCAGTATCATAAACTGATTTAAAGAATATTAAACTTAGTGTGGTCGGCAATTACCTACTTATTTAAAGTCCCTCTGAAATCCAAGCAACAATTTAAGGCAAGTAGGCTTTGAAAGAATTTCATTCAGCGTTTAAGTGAAGTGAACCTTTTGTTCAAATGTCTAATTGTAATAGAAGGATATGGAAATAACGAACAGTATTCAATCTCAACGTACATTAAACAAATATACAAAATAAGAGCAGAGATCCCACGGACCTCCGAAACATCAGAGGTGGGATCAGGTGCCATGGAGGAGTGAGCATCCCCTGCTGACCGGTCACACCCGCCGTGTGCTCGTTGTCATAATCAGGAAATAACGGAAAAAATCCGTGGTCAATTCAGTGTAAAAATAATGGACTAACAATTGGTATGAAAAACGTCAGTCAGCATTTCATTCAATGATAAATTGTATTTGCTGACAAGGTCATTGTATCGACCATAGAATTTACGAAATGATGACTTTAAACGAGACTGTTGATATTCTCGTTTCATCAACTTGCTTGTCAATAATTTACCTCGTTTAAGAAATTGTTCATACGTAGAGCATGCTCTTGCGTATCGAATCAACTGAGATATAAAAACTCCGTATGCAGGTGATGAAGGTATATTGCTGCATAAGTAAGGGAAGTTGACGATAGAAAAGTTAAAGTCATCACGTTTATCATTTAGCTTGGTTGTTAGATTACCATTAGTGTCTTTTTCAAGTAAGATATCCAAGTATGAAGCAGAAGTGTCGGACTCTGTGGTATCTTTTATCTCAAGCTCAGCAGGATATATCGTGTCGACGTAGGAATGGAAATTATCATTATTAATTGACAAGACGTCGTCGATATATCTAAATGTCGAGTTGAAGGCCACAGCAAGTGTTTTCTTCTTTTCACGTAAAAGATTCTGCATAAATTCTGCTTCATATGAATATAAAAATAAGTCTGCTAATAACGGAGCGCAATTTGTACCCATGGGAATTCCAATAGATTGTTGGAATACCTGGTCTCCAAAAACCACATAGATATTGTCAATCAGAAACTCAAGCATCTTCTTGATGTCAATTTCAGAGTACTTATGTGTGCAATCAGAATCTGTTTTAACAAAATAATTTTTCAAATGACCAATGACGAGGTAAGTAAACTTACGAGTTCCATTTTTGTTGAAGAAGCAGCTGTCAATGATATCAAAAAGCCTGGATTTTAATTTGTCGTGGGGAATTGTTGTGTATAAAGTTGAAAAGTCGTAAGTTTTTATGCTGTTGATTTTTGTAAAGTCTTGTGATTTCAAATTGTCCAAAAGTTCTTTAGAATTTTTTAGTATCCACATCTGATTTACACCACTTCTTGAATATATAGTTGTACAGTACTCTTGAAGTTTTTCCTTCACTACTGTCAATATTTTAGTGAGAAGTGACAGGTGATTTTGAAGAATTTCTTCCGTAGAAAGAGAAGTATATGCATAAGTAGGATTACCACTTGTAAAATTAAATCCAAGTTCTTCTAGAATGCAATTTATATAATGAGCCTTACAAACGAAGACAATGTTGTTACCTGCTTTGTCGGCAGGAACCAGTACGTACTGGTCGTGTAATCTATCTAATTCTTTTTTCACTTCTGGTTTATTGAACACAGAAGGATAGATGGTTTTCATTTTGCCCCTCAATCTTTTAATACGTGACTTTAACATAGACCTGATACATTTAATCCATTCTGACAAGGTGTCAATGTCTTCTTTTTCATATTTAGCCCATCGTCTGGCGTAATTTTCAACAGAATCCATAATGATAATATTTATGAAATTCCGACGCCAGTTGAAGGATCGGGGTTCCCTATATTTAGGACCTTTTAAAATAAGTGATCTAAGGTCCTCATTACGGACTATATTTACGTCACCTGTAATAACGTGTCCAGCAGGACTATAGTTATAGGGCGAAGAAGAACAAGAACATGAAAGGGGATTATTTTTCAGATAGTCGATATCCAGGCCATGTAAAGTGTTTTTGTAATTGAAAAGTTTGGAAGCAATGGTCGATGTATATTTTTAGGAAATACAAGGCGTAGTCTTTAACTTGAAATATGGTGGAATACAAGACTGGACCCTTTTGTGATTAAGAATATTACTTATATTAACCGCGTCAATTCCTTTATTGGCGTATTGAAGTTTAAGGAAAAGACGGATTGTTTTAGCTGCATTTTCTTCCGTGAAACGTGCGGGTTTAAAAAGCCTATGATGTGCAATATCCATAATCACAGAACCGAGCCTATATTCAGGTGTCGAGGAATCTAAATTTGGATGTTCCTTGGTCTTTTCAAGAAGACTATGTAAAAGTTTCAAAGGGACAGAGTAAAGTTTGGTTCGAATATGATGTAGACCTAACTGTTGATTTACATAAGGTAGTAATGAATCAAAAGAGACGTCGTGTATTGCAGGTTTATTGTACGAACGATGTCCATGACTACACTTACGTCTCTGAGTATTGTTAAAAAGTCCCATCACAGTTACATTATTACACTGCGGGCTTGAAAGATTTCCAACACTATCGACATTGTCATTACATCCATAGGGAAAGGCTGTCCCTAGTTTCCTAATCCAAAACTCTTCACGTTGTCTACGGAAAGGTGTACTCAACGACGGACTATTTGTGTGGTGATAAATCTTTTCCAGAATTCTAACTTTCATTGATAAAATAGAATGATCAGGTGAATTAAAATGTTTATATAAAAGCTGCTGACTATCATGATTTATTTGAAATCGGTGACCTGATATTCTTTTGTTAAGCGATCCCTTGGTTTCACCGACATAAATAAGTCCACACAGATTACATTCTATTCCATAGACAACATTAGACGATTTGCAGTTCAGATTTTCCCAAGTTTTGGTATAAAAGCTCTGTCCAGTAAGATTACTGGTGAAAGAAGTGTCAGTTATCAAAATGTCACAGGTTTTACAGTTTCGCACAGAACATTTTGAAACCGAAGACATTGGATCGGAAAAGGAATCATCCAATATATTTGTAATAGAAACTTTACACTCTTTCAATTTGGTATATGATTTATTGGTTTTATACCAAAACTGGGAATCTGAAGACTGTACATATGACATATGTTTAATATCCCTGAGGATAATCCGAGGGGCACCAAATGAACTCCTTGAGTCTGTGTCCCTTATAGACTCAAAGGAGTGACGCCTTTTTATACTGGGCGACGCGCCTGCCAGTATCATTTCGTTATTATGTGTACTCATGCATGAATAAGTACCGAACGACAAGTATCCTCGGGGACAAATTGTCCACCAGCAGTGATACATGTTCGGTGGTTGAAAGAAGGATATGGAAATAACGAACAGTATTCAATCTCAACGTCCATTAAACAAATATACAAAATAAGTGCAGAGCAAACACGGACCTCCGAAACATCAGAGGTGGGATCAGATGCCATGGAGGAGTGAGCATCCCCTGCCGACCGGTCACACCCGCCGTGTGCTCAAGGTACTGTTTTGATAAAAAGAAGTCATTTCCTTCGTTTAAAGTAACCATGGCAACGCTTTTCATATAAACATTATAAAAAACAAGATGTGTTTGTGAAACACTATGCGCCCGGCGGCAACAAAGTTAAAAAATCTATTTTTAGCATATTGGTCACAGTCAAGGTCACAAGGTCATTGACCTTGGTGTCATTCGAAAGAACTTAATGGGTGGAGTATGCATACCAAATATGCAGTCTCTACCTCCCATAGTTCAAAAGTTATGGCGAAAGGGTGTAAAAAGCTATTATTAGCATATAGGTCACAGTCAAGCAACAAGATCATTGACCTTGTCGTCGTTTGAAAGGACTTTATTAGTGGAGTAAGTATACCAAATATGAAGTCCCTATATTCTATGGTTCAAAATTTATGACGAACAGTGGAAAAAGCTATTTTTAGCATATAGGTCACAGTCAAGGTCACAAGGTCATTGACCTTGGTGTCATTTGAAAGAACTTAATGGGTGGAGTATGCACATCAAATGTGAAGTCCCTATCTCCTACTGGTCAAAAGTTATGGCAAAAAGTGTAAAAAGCTATTTTTAGCATATAGGTCACAGTCAAGGTCATAAGATCAATGACCTTCTCAACGTTTGAAACGACTTTATTAGTGGAATAAGTATACTAAATATGAAGTCTCTATCTCCTATGGTTCAAAAGTTATGACAAACAGTGGAAAAAGCTATATTTAGCATATAGGTCGAAGTCAAGGTCACAAGGCCATTGACTTTGATGTCATTTGAAAGGACTTTATTGGTGGAGTATGCATACTAAATATGAAGTCTCTAACTCTTATGGTTCAAAAGTTATGGTGAAGGTTAAAGTTGACAACAGACAGAAAGACAAACAGACAAACAGATAAACAGACAAACAGACAAACAGACAGGACAAAAACAATATATATACGCCCGGGATCTATCGATCCGGGCGCATAAAAACGTATCTCAGTATTATGTACTTTTTAACACTTATTAAAAAAAAATTCAAAATTGAAATCAGAATAAGACGGAAGGAGATAAAATTCAAAGATATTTGTATTTTTAGCTACACTTGAAACAGATTTTAACAGATAAGCAGAGTTATGGATATTTTTAAAGTGTATTTATTTTTAGCCAGTTATTTGGATTTCAGACTAAAACTGCAAAAAAGGTAGCGATTTTAAAAGATTTTTATTTCTAGTCACTATGTATCACGGTTCAGTAAATTAAAAAAATTAACAAAGAACGAGGGCGCTTTTGATTGGCATTCGGCAGGAACCTGGGCGTACTTGAAAAGTGAATATTTTATTGACATGTCACATGAAATTTTACATTTTTTTAAGTTATCGGGTTCCAGTGCAACAGGAACGGAAAAAATTTTCCCGAAATTGAGCTTTGATTTGCTAAAAAATAACTTGAAAATTGGCCATATCAGACATTTGGTACAAAATGGTATTTTTTAAACACATTTTTCTAAAACTTTTCTATATCTGGGTCTTCTCTCCATGATTTTGAAACGTTATTTGTGTGTATTTTAATTCAAAGAAACGAATACACTTTTTAAAAAAATGGAGAGAAGACCCAGAGACCACGAAAAATGAACTTTTCCCACAAAAATCCAAATGTGTCAATGTGGTGCGTCTTTGTCCTTTTAAAAACATTTGTACATGTGTAGCTGTGATAGCTCAGTTAGTTAAGCTACCTGTTCAGTGCACTCGAAGCAAGAAGTTTTTGGTTCGAGCCTGGCATGGGGCGTTAATTTTTTTTTATTCAGGCAAACAACCATTTATTTTGTCAGTTTCGTTTTATGTACTGATATATTAAAATTTTGAATTACATTAATTTTGGTTCAGCTTGGTTCTCGAGCGAAATCAATTCTAATCTTCTATTCTACATAATGTACATGTACAAGTATCATGCATCTACATGTATATGCATTAAATATTTTAGATGTTTATTTTTTGTGAAACATTATTATGTTATACACCCCCTAGAAAAAAATGGACATAAATGTTACAATTTCACAATGTCTTTCAAACAAAATGAAAAAATAACCCATGGACATGTTTGTTAAATATGACCAGGTATGTTCAGCCAACCAAATCATGGACATTTAAACCATAATTGTTTCGTACAAATGATTCCTGCAGATCACCCGCCAAATACGCCCATCTTCTTTGTGTATCTTATTAGATTTTATGCAAACGTAGTAATATTAACATTGCACCAATTATGTTGGCGTATAATTTTGATCTAAAGAACAGTTTACAGGCCGTAAGACAGCTAGACAGACGGCGTACTACCTATTACATAGGCTCTTCTGACCTCTGCTTTTTGAAAAAAATGAAATAGAACTAACGTTTTGGGACGTAAAACTAATGTTTAGGGACGTAAAACAATATGCAGCTAAACAATCAGTTGATCTTGTTAAAATAAACATCAAATACATGTTTTTCCCTTTAAAATGATAGATACTGTTTAAATCAGTAAAATACTTAAAATGGTCTTACAATGCTACCTTTGTAAAAAATAAAATTAGCATTAGGATCCTTTATCAATATATTCAGATAACTACTGTAAATCTTAAAATTTTTGCTGTGGATAATTTTTTAGCAAATTTGCGAGTTCATTGCATTCGCAAAAATATTTTTCTCAAATATGAATTACCAATGAGAAAATGTAGACAAAGCAGTGATCAATCGCAAAATTTTGAAGCGTAAAAATTATTCAACAGCATTTTGACCCGAATTCGCAAAATAAAATGGACGTTAAAATTTCCAGATTTACGGTATTACATTTACTCATGCCTCCATGAACGCACTTAAGAAGATTGTTTACCCAAACATAAATATAAACAAAGAAATGTCATTTTTTTTGTTGAAGCGGAGTAATAGTTGCAATATTACCTGAATAAAAAAAATCTGGTTAGAAATATTAATTAATTTTTTTCAGGAGATGTTTCTATTGTTAATTCCATTTACACAAGTAACAAAGACAGTATTTAAAAAAACATTTTACACAAACCTCTTAAAGAAGAGTCATCGTCCAGTTCAAACATGTCTTCATGAACCTCAAGTCCAACAGTGGAGCGCACCTTCAGTAATTCCTCTAATCCTAGCTTTTCAAGTCGTTTTAGAAGGGTAGTTTTCCCAGCACCTGCGCATCCAACAATCATTGCACGAGCCCTGTGTACTGTCTTCGTTCCCCTTTTAGCACATTCTATGTATCTACATCGTGCATCATATTCCCAATCAAATATTTCCTCCGGTACGTTAACTTTAAATTTAAAAAGTTACAGTTATTAATTCACTTTTAAATGGTTAGTTGCCTATTCATGTTATTTCTTTTTTTTGTAAGCTGAACTTTTTAATTAAATAATAATATATTTTAATACTTAAAAAGGCTAAAAAAAAAATTGTTTTCCCCCTACAAAATATGAAAATTTATTCTCGGTTGCAGTGTTACTCACAGTTGTCTTTCACTTTTTCTCTGAATGTTTCTGTTGTCTCTTCATAACATTTCCAATCATTTATCGTGGGGTGACGTAGGACGTCTAATCCAAGTCTTTGAAAGAATGAATCTTCCAAAGTCTCCGGTAAGAACAAATATTTTTTGAGGTCTGTGCATACATCCTCTACCATATACCACCATGGACGTACGTACTCCAACAAAGAGTCCACTGATGACAGTTTGATATAATTCTCGTAGTCCTCGTCAGTTACCAGACAATTCTTCACAAAGTAACTCATCACCTGATGGCGGACATCCTCTGATATAAATCTGACTGAGTTGTTTTCCTTACTCAATACTTTAGAGATATCTGTCAATTCAACGATATCACTCTCCAGAATTCTTGAATCACACTTTAATAACGGGAACGCACTGTTAAGTTTTCTTGATATTTCTTCCAATGGTGTACTTAAGGATAAACTGTAACTCTCCGACATCAGAATAGAAACTAAAATGTTCCATTTTGACTGAGAAAGTGCAAGATTTTCAGGTACTAAAATAAAAATATCTCATCAAAGCACATGACATTGTATGTTAAACTTATTTTCTCATAATTTAGAACGTCTGAGTCCGTCTTCTGTAAATGATTTTAACCATGCATTCAATAATCAGTCATGTTTAATAGGTAAATGTAATCCAACATCCATGTAGTTTCAAAGTAAAAAAAAAATTAATCAATTTGCCATTATTTAATTGCAATAAAGAAAATTGTTATATAAATATATTGATGTGTGTGTGTGAGGGTGAGTGTGTGTGTTTGCATATATGATTGATTATTAACATAAGACTTATCGATGTATTGTTAAAACATGAGCAGAAAGAGATATTAAAACACATAAATGTACATATTTGTTGGAAGTCAGTTGTTTGGAAGGCACAGATGAATAAAATTGAAACTGAAATAAGCATTTTTATCATGAAAATTTCTGTGAACACTGAGCTTAAAATTTACGCCCTCCCTTTCATTAAGTTTTATCAGCAAATCTAATTTTGCTTTCAGCTCAAGTGACCATTTCTGGCCACCCGTTGTCTGTCGTTCGCCCGCTGATCTGTAAAATGTTCGCATTTAGAACATCTTGCCAACAACCAGTTGGACACAGATCAGTTCTAAGCAGAGCTAGTGAATACATCTAGATTAAGAATTTCTAAATTGTTAACGCACCTTCTAACGGGAGATGATTAAGATACCAGTAAGGCTGAAACCGGTGTTTATTAAACTTCTTCTCAAAAACTACTGATTATCAAATCATAGCCCCTGGGGTAGAGATAGGCCTCAAAGTATAGAAGTAAATATTTACATTGAAAGTAAAAAAAAATCTTCTCAAGATCTAGAACCACAAGTTAAAAGACATGCAGGTGAATCTTTCTGAAATAACTTAGATTGTAAAAATTGTTAAAAAGTATGTCCCATGGTTTTGGATGGGACTAAAAAATAACAATCAAAATTTTATAGACATATCTATTTAAAAAAAAAAAAACTTCTAAAGAAGAGCCACTGCACCACGAAACTGAACCTGTGTTGACCAGAGCTTCTTGTGGAAGTATAGCTTATTAATATTCAGATTGTGGTCCCCGGCCGTATGACTCACAATAAGGAATACATAAGGAAAGCTCTTTAAAAATAACTCGTAAGAGAGAGGGGATGCCAAAGACTGAACCCAAATACATCGAAGTTTCAGAGATGTTTGCATGAGATAGATAACCCTTCATTTTAAGATAAACATTTAAATTTTACCAAAGGAATAAATTTGAAAGTGTATCTGTATTTTCAAGGTAGTACCAATGAACTTGGTACTGGGATAATCAGAAATTTTGTTGTCTCTTGATTTTATCAACACTTTATGAACTTTAGGGTTCTATGTTTTTAATTATAAATTCAACTGCAGTCAGGAGTGTAACAGACCTTTTATTTTTAGAATTACTATTGTTCCTTAACAATCTTTCTAAAAACATATTGAAAAAAAAGGTTCAATATTATTTGATGCTCAAAACAGAATGTGTATCAACAAATCATTTTTCAGTCAAATTAGGTAATAGTTTTCATCATTGAAAATATTTTTTTAATGCAAGGTATATATATATATATACTACACTTGCGAATAACCATGATTTAAGTTCTTGAAAATGTGGAAAACTTGCCATTAAGTATGAAAAATATCGCAACGATAAATTGACATACATACTAAAACAGTTGTTGTGAGTTATAATCTCCAAATCAATGTTAAATAGAAGACATAATTTGAGTGCAATACAATAATGCAAAACAGTCACTTCAAAATCTTGGTTTTCTTATAAGTAGAATTGTAAGAAGTTACTTCTTTCTTGGCTTACATTTAAAGAATTGGTTTAAATGAACCAAAATTTAATCATGGGGAATTTTATTATAGGATTCAACGTTATTTTTGAAAATTTTATTGATGTGTAATAAACTCTTGACATTTTACTCATAAACTAAATAAAAGTACGAAGCACTTCTATGTTAAGTTTGTGGAAGGATATGGAGATAGCGAACAGTATTCAATCTCAAAGTCCATTAAACAATATACATGTACATAATTAGAGCAGAGCAAACACGGACCTCCGAAACATCAGAGGTGGGATCAGGTGCCATGGAGGAGTAAGCATCCCCTGCCGACCGGTCACACCCGCCGTGTGCTCGTTGTCATGATCAGGAAATAACGGAAAAAAATCCGTCGTCAATTCAGTGTACAAACAATGGACTAACAATTGGTATGAAAAACGTCAGTCTACATTCGACTCAATGATAAATTGTATTTGCTGACAAGGTCATTGTATCGACCATAGAACTTACGAAATTATGACTTTAAACGAGACTGCTGATATTCTTGTTTCATCAACTTGCTTGTCAATAATTTACCTCGTTTAAGAAATTGTTCATACGTAGTGCATGCTCTTGCGTATCGAATCAACTGAGATATATATACTCCGCATGCAGGTTATGAAGATCTATTGCTGCATAGGTAAGGGAAGTTGACGATAGAAAAGTTAAAGTCATCACGTTTATCATATAGCTTGGTTGTTAGATTACCATTAGTGTCTTTGGTAAAAAAAAAAATGGGAGTTTTCAATTCGATAATTTAAAAAAAAAATTTTATTCTTATAATTCCAATAACGATTTTTTTTAAATATTTAGATTATTTCTCTTCGAGGTCATTCTGGACGGCGTAGAAATACTTTATACCGCAAAGGAACGTAAAAAAGATGAATTTCGATAGAATTCAGATTAAATTGTCAAAGCAATCAATAAATAAACTTATAAAGACCTCTCGAATATTGTTTTAGTCAACACATATCGTAATTATCGTAATTACGAGTTTGTCCTTGACCATGGCCATGTTCACATTAACGACAACTCTCAGAGCGAAAGTTGCAGACCGACGACGCCTTCGGTTTACACTCGTTTGTTCAAAGATTGGGGAACAATATAGAAATATGAATTTGATGCTGATAGGGCAAGTGTTTGAGGTACGTTTCTTTTCCCTGTTACAACGATACAAAATGAGATGATTTTTCTTCGTATTAGGAACAATGAGAATATGACATCAGCAATTTTTAAAATTTACACCCGGGATACAAACTGAGATGACTTTCTTCGTATTAGGAACATCGAGAATATGACAACTTACACAGTGGCATTATTTCCATGAAGTCTGTCAGCTGGTTAGTCCTGTGTGTCGCCAGTTTTGTCTTATTTAATTAAATTTGAAGTTTCTTGTATTCACAATTTAGCTAAAACAGACCAGAAATTAAACTGCTTTAATTGTTTATACCATAGCCCAGAAGCTTGGTCAAGAAAATATTTCTGGTTGAAAATTTTATTGATGTGTAAACTTTTTTTTTCTAAAAAGTGTTTTTGTCCAATCAAAACATAGGGAATCAATAAATAAAATGATAATTGGAATTATTGCATTTTTCATATTAAAACTTTTCAAATCAGAATCGGAAAAAAGTGTACAATAACAATCAAAAAGACAGTTTTGTCACACACACAAAAGAAGAAACTCAATCAAGGTCTATTTTAATTATTTATTTCACTTAACTCCTTAGAAGCATAAATAACTATAATTCCTTGTGATTATGTATTTCAGAAGGTCTTTATGATGTAGTGATACTTTCTTTTTTTTCAAATGAAGTTTTACTTCTACACATTCTTTAACTTTTTTTCCAGTTGACTATTCTATTCCCAGATTGGGAGTTTTAACAGAATGCAAGTGTAATATATATGATGATATTAGAGAAAAATAGGGATAAATTCTCGAATTCTTTCCAAACAATTATGTTTTTTTTACATTCATTCACTGGCATTCATGTACATGTACATAACTTCGGTCTGTATATATTTTGGTATGTAACAATATGTTCCGCTGGCTCATATAGCCGGATACAAGCATGTACTTTCTATATGTGAGAATATATGTTCGATGATAACATTTTGATAAAATAAAACCGTCGGTACATGCATTATTTTACATGTAGACTTGTTAACATTTGTTTAGTTTGGTCAATGTGTTAATGTGTTCACAACAAAGGCATTTTAAATCTGCATATTTCATGTTGCTCAATGTACTACAAACCCTGACTTTCTCTGTATATAATTAATGAAATGATAAAATAACACCCGGAAAAGTATCTTCAATTTTAGTGACATTGAATCATGATCATTTTATAAATCAGTAATTTTGAACTCCAATGAAGTAGCTAAAAAATTACGCTCTATCAAGGTGGATTGAGAAAAGGAATGATCAACATTGAAATAAATTTAAAGGAAAAATAACAAGAATCTTTCTCTACCTTTATCACTCTCTCTTTATCTTTGAATAAGAAAAATTGATTGAAAAAAAAAATACCCTCGTCCTAAGTGTAATTGAATAACACATCTGATTATATATGTCGTCTTACCTTCAGGACTGTTGTCATCTCTTCCAATTAAAAACGATCCAAAAAGACTGTTAAGGTTCAAAGACTGTATGGAAGCTTGTTTTTCTTCTGAAATTTTCTTCACATATTCCACAAATTTATTCCGATTTTTCTCACAAAACACAATAGATGGAAGTTTAACTGAAATAAATGAAATTTTTATTAATTGTATGATATTACTTATTTTACGGTTATGGTTGTTCAGTGAGTTCTAGGAACAATTATTTGATTATCAACGAAAAATCTTTATTGATTGAACATTGTTATTTTTTAAAGAAGGGGACTAAATAAAAATTATTTTAAATAGATATTTATTCAGCGCCCAGTGCGAAGCATTGATGTGAGATTACATGTTGACCTTTAAAATCTTTATCAGATAATGTTATTTTCATTTACTCGATAAAGTGAATAATTAATTTCATCAATTCAATAGAATCATTCTGAGATTTAACCATTTCCCTACCGCATAGGTCAATATGACCGATAGCACATTAAAACACAACATCTCGACAACAGGACCTCCGTATCTTTTTAAGCGCAAAGCGCTTTCTGTCAGCGTAAATCTACTTCCGTTCGCGATCCAGCGCCACTATAAGCAAGTTAGATAACTCCTCTTGTTATTCTAAAATATGCAACTGGAAATCCCTGTCTCTCTTCCTGCTATTTTAGTGTACTGCTGCGTTACGTGTATTTCTATTAATAGCAAGCAATTAGTAAGGTAAAGGGATATTCCACAATTAGTAGATAAAATCAGTTCTTATCATGCTCTTCTCTATACATTGAAGTTCATTTAAATCATGTCAGCACACATTACTTTTGTATCATGTAGCTAATAATTGCTGCATCTATTGCGCAAATACTGAATTAAAAGCAATATATTTTTATCATGTACATGTAATATAGTGATTGAATAAACTTGTTCATAATTTAAAACTAAGATTTTAATAAATATTATTTTTATACAGCTGTAAATCTCAATCTGAAAGTGATTTATTGTAGTATTCAGTATTAAAAAAGAATAAAATTGATTTACAATGTACTACTCAAATAATATGGTGTGTACTATATAACATAACCATATAAACTATCATTTTTTCTTCTCGACCCTTACTTAAGGCAATGTTACCAAGATAAGCCTTCTCTTTAACACCTTGCGCCATGCTAAGAACTATCAGTGAAGTTGATTTTCGCATCTAAGTATCAATTGGTAACAAACTGCAATTCATGGACTGACTTTTTAATGTCTTTACTTGAGTTGTGCTCTATACTTGTATCATATGAGTAAAACATATTATGTAAATAATTCGAAAGGAAAGGCAGTTTCTGTGGCTGTACAGACCTGTAGGGCATGTGGTGGTTGTGTTTTCATCGAATCCATTCAAATAGTAAAACGTATTTCTCGGAATATTTTGCTTTAAAATTGTGACTATAGTGTGCAGGATATGGCGAAAAATGCTAAAACCATAATTATCGTTCTTAGCAATGGACAGGAATAGGGCTAATGTAAAGCAAACAGTTTAATTCTTGAAGTAGGAAACTATAAGGAAGAAATAGTTTATGTAAAAATGTGCCTCAGCTGTATTGCCGATTATTCACGAAGACTAAATAAAAGCAGACTAAAACAATGTTGTATATCTTCATGAAGATTTTTTAATAATTGAGATTAATACTTGCATACTAGTACTTTTTTCTTGGTCTTTTGAATTACTTATCATTGAAATAGCAGAAAAATAATTGGGAATTATTTTCCGTATTCCTTTTCAACAAGCTCAAAAATGCCGAAGATATGTTTCCTCTCTGTATGTTTTGCATGGTAGTGAAGATCATACATACACAAGTAAAGAATGGTGTAAAGCATCAAGCGTCCGTAAAAAAAAATTGAAGCATTTTAAATTATTTTAAAGTCAGAAATGCTTTGTGGGGTTTAATGAATTTTTTTTTTATTCCAAAGAAGAAAATGGTAATTTTTTTATTGTAAAAAAGTAATATTTACATTAGTAAAACATATTGTGATATCAAAACAAATGCACAGGCACCTGACGTTATATATTTTTCTTTTAATAAAAAATATACCCATACCTAAGTGCTTTCGCACTGTCAATACAACAGGAAATTTAGATTCAAAATAATTCTGATGAATTTCAAATCAATATGCTTAGCGCTTCCCAGTACTTTCAGTACTTTGATTAATAATAGCATGAATGTATATAATCTATATATCATCTTTTAGGACGTTTTCTCTACTTTCAGACTGTAAAAATTCCGAGCCTTATTAATCGGTAATGAATAGATTTTACGTTTTGAAGACATTCGTGACTTTTTGAAAAGTGTGCTTGTACAAAAGGCTTCAGAACTTTCATTTGTGAAGACTCGCTTGCTAATTGCACCAATGACCACCATGCACAGAAAAGATTATGATGTGGAGGACATAGGTGCTTAGTTTTTCGTAAGTCAATTCTATTGCATTAAAAAAATCCTCATTGTCACTGGATGGCTATTAGTCAACACTCCCAGGCACATGAGTCGCTAGACTAGCGCAGTGGTTAGAGCCTCTGCTCTATAGTCATGAAGTAAGAAGTTGATCCTTACATACATGTAGCAGGTTCAGATCTTACTATGAGACGTTGAGACCTGTCCTTCTGATGAGACACTATATAAATATCTTATCTTATACTTATATATGTGAATGTATTACATTTGGCGTGTATGATATTTGGCGGAGATTCAATTTTAAACAAGTTAGCGTAGATTTGATTAAGCGCTCAAGTCTGAATTTGCTAGTTATGAAAGTTAATATACAAGACATTTAGCGATGTTCTTGAATTAGCGGAGTCTGCTCTCGGCCAAAATCGCTAAATAGAATACACCGTTAAATGTAATAAGTTACAGTAAACCAATTAAGGTCCCTTGTCGCAGTAGATTCTGGCATGAAAAAGATCCCACACAGCTCAATAGCCGTTGGTGCCAAGCATGGAACAAAATTTGCATCTGTCCACCGACAAGTGGTGGTGTCTCCATATGAGAGAGAAATTCTTGAGATGGACATTTAATAAGATAAAAACAAGCCCATGTACATATACACCTTGTCCCAGGGATTTTTCTTTGAAGTAACAGTTTTCAGTCCAACATGCCCTTTCTCTGAACAACCCTGACAACAGAAACTAAAAAATGGATATTTCATGTTTTTGATAAAAGAAATGGTTAATTATGCTATTTTTTAAAATTTATAATTGATTTACCATGATTGTTAAGTACAAGGCTGGCAATTTTTCAGTCATGATACATTGACTTAGCACAAGTGGTGAGAGAAATGGAGCATAACAAGATCGAGCTTCTTGGAGTAAGTGAAACTAGATGGACAGGCAAGGGATCATAACAACTAGTATCAGGACACCAAATACTCCACTCTGGAAGAACTGACGAACATCATAGTAGAGGAGTAGCAATAATGACAACAAAAGAAATTTATAGAAGTCTGTTAGAATGGAAGCCTGTAAATGAAAGGATCATAACAGCAAGATTCATCTCAGCCTTTGTCAAACTTACTGTAGTGGTATGCTATGCACCAACAGATGATGCAGAAGATGACGAAAAAGTCTCCTTTTACGACAGCTTACAAGAGATAGTAGACAATACACCATCTCACGATGTCCTACTTATCTTGGGAGACCTAAATGCAAAATTTGGGAAAAGCAACCAAGGAAGAGAAAGCATCATGGGTAAGCAAGACCTAAGAGAATGTAACAGCAATGGAGAAAGGCTGTGCACGTCCTGCCAAGAAAACGACTTGATAATTGGTGGAACTATATTTATGCACAAAGATATTCATAAGACAACATGGAACTCTCCAGATGGTCATACGAAAAATCAAATTAATCATGTTATCATCAAAAAAAGATGGAGAAGCAGCCTCCTGGATGTGGTTGCAAAGCAAGGAGCGGACGTGGGCAGTGACCACTCATTAGGCTTGACTAAAGTCAAGCTAAAGCTAAGGAAATCAAGGAAGAAAGATCAAAGACTGCCTCCTATTAACATCCAAAAGCTTAAAGATGCGAAAGTTATGAGATTTTTTCAATTAAAAGTGCAGAACAAGTTTGCAGCTCTTATGGAACGCCCAGATGAAATTAATATGGAAACATTTAATGAGGTACTTTCAGAGAATGCACAGCAAATACGTGGACCAAGAAAGAGGAAAAAAGAGGAATGGATCTCGGAGAACACATGAAAAATAGTAGAGCAACGTAAAGAAAAGAAAAAAAAAATCCTCTCCACTAAATCAAAGAGACAAAAAGATCAGCTCCAAGCTGAATATCGGATTATAGACAAAGAAGTTAAGAAAAATGCAAGAGTAGACAGGAAGGCATACACTGAAAAACTAGCAAATGAAGCAGAACAACCTGCTTCTAAACAAGATATGCAGACCCTCTATCGAATCACCAAAACACTAGCAGGTAAATTTCAGACAGCAGATTTACCAATAAGAGATAAAAAAGGAAAGGTCTTATCCAAAGAAGGAGATATACAGAAACGATGGAAAGAACATTTTGAGGTGTTCAATATAAATGATACAGGAAATGAGGTCCTGATAACACCAGCCATTAACATACTGGATATTAATACTGATCTACCCTAGTATAGAAGAGGTTAAAAAGGCAATAAAGAAATTGAAAAATGGAAAGGCTGCTGGCATTGACCAGATAAATGCAGAGCTCCTCAAGGCCGAAGAGTACTGGACACCTACCATCTTGACAAATATTCTACAGAACATCTCGGAATCAGAAGAGATACCAACCTTCTGGAGAACAGGCCTTAAAAAAAGGAGACCTTTCCAACTGCAACAACTATAGAGGGATAATGCTGCTCTCAGTATCCATGAAAGTGCTAAGCAGAGTGATATTGAACAGAATCACAGACATAGCAGACCCTCTACTTCAGAAAGGGAAGATCATGTGCCGATTAGATATTTCTTCATTCTCAGACAAATATTAGAGCAGAGCAATGAATGGAACTCTCCACTTCACAACTTTATCGACTTTACAAAAGCTTTTGAGTGTTAATCGCCTAGCCTTAGAAAAATTCTCAGTCATTATGGGATCCCAGATAAAATCATCTCCATCATTAAGATGTTATACACAGACTTAAATGCCAGAGTTATCTGTACATCAAACTTATCAGAGGAGTTCAAATTGAAGACTGGAGTAAAACAAGGATGTCTGCTCTCCCCTCTTCTCTTTACATTCTGCATTGACTGAATCATGCTAGAAACCACCAATAATAAGCAGAGAGGAATTACCTGGGCCATGGCAGAGATGTTAGAAGACCTAGATTTTGCAGACGACATAGCACTGCTGTCACACCAACATCGTTACATGCAAGAGAAAACCAACCAACTAGCAGAAACAGCACGGAAGATTGGCCTGAATATTAACAACACCAAGACCAAAATCAAGAAGGTCAATACTAAATCAGAGGAGCTCATCACCTTATATAATGAAACAAGAGGCCCACGGGCCTTATAGGTCACCTGAGTATTGTGTAACAACTTTCAAACAATTAAATTTGGTTCGTGTTTTAAACCAGAGGCCATGAAATTCACGATTCACAGTTTTGAAAGAGGCAGCATTGCTTATCATAATTATTAACTTAGCATGCTTACTCTATTTACTTGATACCTAGAGGTAGATCAGAGTGACAAAGAGAAAATGCACTTCCACTTTATAACCAGTTGTGCACCTCACTCCAAAGAAACCACTGACCCAAGTAACACATATTTCAAAATTTTGCAAATTTTACCATAAAATGGTTGATTAATACCAAAGAGCAGATTTCAAAGCATTCATTTATTTCAGACTATGTAACCCCCCTCCTCTGACCCAGGGGGATAAAAACCCACTTTGCTAGATGCGCCTTTCTTCATCATAAATATATATACTTGGATCACTGGCATAAAACCCAAAGGCAAAGGAAAATATTTTCAAAGAATTAATGTATCTTTACTCTATGATCAACAGAGCCCCGCCCTAACACCAAAACCCCTAACCCTGGGGCCATAAAATTCACAATTTTATAGGAGGTAATCTTGCTCATTATAACAATGTGGTTAGTTAGTTTATTTAATTCCCAGAAGCAGAAAGGAAGATTTTCAAAGAATAAATGCATTTTCACTATATGATCAGCAGAGCCCAGCCCTAACACTAGAACCCTAGCCCTGGGGCCATAAAATTCTCTATTTTGGAAGAGACACTTTTGCTCATTATAATGATGTACTGAGTTAGTTTATTTAATAACCAGAAGCAGAGAAGAAGATTTTCAAGGAATAAATGCATTTTCACTATATAATCAATAGAGCCCCGCCCTAACACCAGAACCCCTGACCCTGGGGCCATAAAATTCACAATTTTAGAAAAAAGCACTCTTGCTCATCATAACTATGTGCTTAGTAAGTTTATTTAATACCCAGAAGAAGAGAAGAAGATTTTCAAAGAATAAATGCATTTTCACTATATAATCAATAGAGCCCCGCCCTAACACCAGAACCCCTGACCATGGGGCCATAAAATTCACAATTTTAGAAAAAGCCTCTAGCTTACCATAACTATGTGCTTAGTTAGTTTATTTAATACTCAAAAGCAGAGAAGAAGATTTCAAAGAATAAATGCATTTTCACTATATAACCAATAAAGCCCCGCCCTAGCACCAGAACCTCTGACCCTGGGGCCATAAAATTCACAAATCTGGAAAATGCACTTTTGCTCATCATAACTATGTACTTAGTTAGTTTATTTTATACTCAGAAGCAGAGAAGAAGATTTTCAAAGAATAAATGCATTTTTAACTATATAATCAATAGAGCCCCGCCCTGGCACTAGAAACCCTGACCCTGGGGCCATGAATTTCACAATTTTGGTAGAGGACTCAATGTTCATTACATTCATGCCAACAGTTCGCCTGCTTGATGTCCAGGAGTAAAGAAGAAGATTTTTAAAGATTGCAATAATTTTAGTTTTTAGTTTTGGCCCCACCCCTCAGGCCCCAGGGGGGCGGAGACCATGAAATTCACAGTTTTTGTTCCTCTTCACCCATATATGCTGTATACCAAATTTGGTTGAAATTGGTCCAGTGGTTTCAGAGAAGAAGCTGAAAATGTTCAAATGTTAACACACGACACACGACGCACGACGGACGACGACGGACGAAAACGGATAGCAATAGGTCACCTGAGTTTACTCAGGTGACCTAAAAATAGAAGTCTCAGAATTTGTTTATCTAGGAAGCAAGATCACCACAGATGGGAACTCAGAGGTAGATGTACTAGCTCGGATTTTTAAAGCCACAGGATCGTATGTTTCACTAAGAAACATCTGGAGGTCAGCAAAGATCAGAATAAACACCGAAATAAGGATCTTCAAGAGCAACGTGCTTGGGGTCCTCCTATATGGTGCTGAAACATGGAAAGTAACAAAGACCATTTCAAACAAGCTAGATACCTTCCGGACACGTTGCCTTTGCAGAATACTACGCATCTTCTGGCCAAATACCATCTCAAATGAAGAGCTGTACAAAAAGACCAACACAACCCCTCTATCTCAAGTTATAAAAAGAAGAAAATGGCAGTGGATAGGACATGTATGTAGAATGCACCCAACTTCCATCTCAAGGGTTGCTTTGAAATGGACACCATCTGGCAAGAGAAAGAGAGGAAGACCAAAAGAAACATGGAGAAGATCGGTGGAGAAAGAGATGGGAAAGAACAGCTGGACATGGGGACAGATCCAGAAATGGACACAGGACAGGTCAGCGTGGAAGTCTCTGGTGACGGCCTTATCTGCTAACCAGCACGAAGAGGATAAAGTAAGTAAGTAATACATGGACTTCACCAAACGATTTAACTAGTATGACAAAATATGACATATATAGAATATATTATATGTTATGCTTTATAAAGACTTTTTAACAATATTATAAAAGAAAAATTATATCAATGTGTCAATTGTAGATTTCTGTATAATCTGAATAATCTGATTAATTAAAAAAACATATTTGATTAGAAAAGCTTTTCAAAACGTTTTTAAATTTGTTCCAGGACAGAATGCATTTAGAAGCTGATCATGCCTTGGTCAAATCAAAGGAGTTCCCTCGGTCTTTAAGAGAGATGACAGAAAGATCATTAAACATTAAGATGATGTGCACATAATGTAATCTTGAATCTAAAGTTAGAGATAAAGACCTGCAAACTTACTAGCAAATCTGCTTGTTAATTATTGTTTGCCGGATACTTCACTTTTTTAGGAATGCTCTTTATTTCTATCAATGATGCAAGTGGTTATTCAAGATCATGTCATGTGCTATGAAGAATTCTGACTTTTGACAGCATACGTAAAGGGTTTGTGAGAAGAGTAGCAAATACTAAAGAAATCCTTGGCTACTGAAATTCAGTATTTGTACGTCAGATAAATTGGATGAGTGTAAGATTGTAGCAGAAGTTATGTCTTGTCCATCTTTGCTGTTTTTTCATATGCTTATAAAATAAAAAGTTGTTTTAACAAGTTACAAAGAAAGGTCTTGAAAATTAATATAATTCTTTTAAGAAAAGAGAAAAATGTAAATGTTTTCTTATACACTATATTTTAGATGCCAAAAATGTGTTTGACATAGTTTTTGAAAATGACAAAATAAGAACTCCATTGTGTAATCAAAAAATATACAATACATTTTTACCTTAATATGATTTACACCTCCTAACTTCATTAGCATAAATCGCAGAATTCGGAGATAAACGTAATAAAATATTAACAAAATCCATAAACGTTCGAACAGCTTTCCCCGCGAGAATTCAGCGAGACCAACATGCGAGAGGTAAAAATTGAGAGAGAAATTCAACATGAAAAAATAGGTAAAACTTTGTTATCTCGATTTATAAGATTTGTAAATTGCAAAAAGTTGAAAAACAAACGTTTCTTTACCTGAAAAGTGAAAGTAGATTTGCAGTTACCATTCTGTCAAGTGCTATTGCACTTTAAAGTGTCAAAACAGCACCTCTGGATTTTGTAAACATGTTTCCACGTGGAAGGGAGTAGTTGTGTCGGTGAAGATTAACCCACATACATTGATTTAGTAAACAAAAACTCTCGTAAGTAGAATTTCATTTATTTTTTCGATTACCTGTAGCACAAAATGGCTATAAATATTTTGGGGCAAGTCTGTCAAATGCTGTTAATAGCATGTCTTGAATTGAAGAGAAAATGCAGGTGTGTAGTTTACTATGCATTCATATGCAGAGTTACGCGTATAAAACTCATTTTTCTTACTTATCAATACCCAGTGATTTGTGGGAACCATATGTGTTTCTTTTTAATACCAAGAGTCTGAAATTTAATTCTATTCGTACTCGTGTGCATGCACAAGAAGTTCTTCCGAAATTCCTTCACACATATACATGTGTACCTAGAAAAAGGTTTGTTTACATTTGTTTGCAGTTTTAATAGAGTCAGCTGTTTATATCAATCATGCAGTTTTCACTAGAGCTTACTGATCAAAATATGGTTGTTACTTTTTTTTTTAATTTTATACCATTGAATTTACGGTCAGATGATGTAAATGCATTTCTCACATACTTGTGTATATATCAGGTATGAAACTTCACATATGCAGTTGTGGCCCGCGTGGAGCAGTGATTAGAGCGTCTGCTCAGGAGTCGGGAAGAAAGGAGTCCATCCTTACTTTGTTGGTTCAAATCCCACTGTGGGACGTGGAGACCGGTCCTCCGGATTAGACCGTATAAATCGAGGCCCTGTGTCGCAGTGGGTGCTGGGACAAAAAAGATCCCTCACTGCTCATTGGTCCTCAGTGCCTAGCATAGGACAAAATTTGTAGCCCTCCACCAGCTAGTGGTGGCGTCTCCGTATGAGTGAAAAATTCTCGAGAGGGATGTTATAAGTAACATACAATCAACCAATCACACGTGCAGTTTATGTAAATTCTTCTCATATCATAATGACTGTGTCCATGTTCAATTATACACTAATGTGCAATGAATGTTTCTTGCAGGATATTATACTCTGAGTACAGTGATGTGCAAGTTCAAGTTTTGACTGCTGTTAGTATTGTATTGTATATTGTATTGTATATGTAATTGTAAGGATGAATTTATAAAATTAAAAGGTAACATTATTTATATCTAATTATTATCATCCTGATCATGCTGATTGGAATAAACAAAGAAAAAGTATGCTGATACATAAATCAGCATATTATGCAAATTGTAAATGATTGCATTACAATTTTTTTTTCTGATTTGCATGTAGTGCATTGATATCTGGCAGTATTTCAACATAATTGAAAAGCTTGTATTTTATTTGGATTAATTAATTTAGAGGATTGTATTAACTTAATAATCATATTTGTAGTTCAGCTGTAACAAAACAAATTATCTGATGAAAGCAGTAACCATGAGAAAAGGAAAGGATGTCCAAGGAGAAGGTATGTTAATTACTGGTGATGATAATGTTATTGATGTAAATAGGGTATATACAGCAATAAAATAGAGAGAACAATAGTAATCTGTAGACAAAAAATAAAAAAAAAACTAAATCTAAATTCTTTTCAAGAATATATAGGCAGGTCATGATTAGTCACGTTGAGATAGTTAAGAGGAGATTTAGATTTGTTCAGATCATATAGAGATAGGGTAGAGTGGGTCCACAGTTGGGGATGAAAGTTGTATTCTTGAATACTTAAGGCTGAAGCCTTTTATTATAAAATCTTTTCAAGATTATTAGGGCCACAATGCATCATATTTTCTTTACTGAATACATCCTAGTACAGAATCCCAAAATCGAGGGGGATGTGCCATAATTAGAAACAGAATGTCTATCTAGAAAATCCTTAATGTAAATATTGGAAAATCTTTTTGTTTATTTCTGGCTTTTAAATTAAGTAGAGATAAAAATAATGTAAGTTTTCATAATTTTAAATCACCTTTTTTATGGAGACTTTAGATAATATCTATGTAAGTAAAAAAGAGCTACAATTTTCAGAAAGAAAGCAATATTTTGTGGTTGTAGAAAAGGGGCATAACTCTCATCATGAGAGTAAATGATGGATGCCAGAAAATGTGAAAAAACAAGTGAATACAGTGCAGTATGAATAAGTTCATTTAAACAAGAGTATCTTAAAATCAAACAAATTTTACTATCTAGGGTATGTTGACATTCATGACAGTATTACAAATAATTTGTAAACACTTTGAATTGCATATGATTTACTTTTGTTAATTTAATTTGCTCATTTTGCGCACATCTCTTTCTCATGCAGATTATTAATGAACAATGATAGATTGAATTAGCAACTTTTAATGGCATACATGTATATGAATTTTATATAATCTGTTTAGAATTCCTATATATCTTACCCTGAATCTCTTGGATATCTCAGTTTTTTTTCAGCAGATCCATAAGCATTTCAAGATAACAAGTGTGACTTTATTTTATTGATTCAATTAATTTATGATGAATTATCAAAATATAAATCATATACTTTTATGTTAATGCATCGACATTCTATATTTTTCAGGCCATATAACAAATGGTTGCTGAATTCATGAAGACTAGCTGGGATGATAAAGTACATTTCCACTCTAATGAACCATATCTGAACATAATCTGAGGATCCCTTTCTCAGAAAAAAAGAATTTGCATATTCAAAGACTCTATAGTTTATTGTTTTTATGTATGTTGTATAACATTCTTCTTGAGAAATTTTCACTCATATGGGGATGCCAACATTTGCCGATGGAGAGCTGCAAATTTTGTCCTTTACTTGGAACACATGATAATTGAGCAACGAGGAATCTTCCGGTGCTAGCACCTACTGCAACATGGGACCTCTGTATATACCGTCTCATCTCAAAGTCCGACTGTGGGATTTCGAAACAGCAATGCAAGGATCAACTACTTATTCATGACTTCTGGAGCAGACGCTCTTGCCAATGCGCCGTGCAGGTGACTTCATAGGTTATAAGATAATAAGAATTATAACTTAAATCTGATGTTTTTAATGCAATTACAGAAAAGAACATGTTTGCAAAAAGGGAGATAATAGCTACATGAAGCTCTCACTGGTATTGCATGCTTAAAGTATATGAAGTACATATTTTAATTACACATTATTTTAAACCAAATCTATGGTGGCATAGTTATGCCATCCACATAATTGTTTGTCAACATAGCATATCATGTCAAGTCAAGATAACTATCTCGTCAAGTGATGATAACTTTCTGGTTTGTCGACAAACACCGACTTTATATCTTGCCAAGTCAAGATAATCTATCACGTTTTGTTGCAATAGCTATCTTGACATGACGAGATAACTTGTTATCGCGATACAAGATAAATTATCTCGTTTTGTTGAGATAACTATCGCAAAAATACGATAGCTTATCTTGACTGTACAAGATAAAAGTCGGTGTTTGACGACAAACCAGAAAGTTATCATGACTTGATACGATAGTTATCTTGACTTGACGTGATATCTTATGTTAACAAAACATTATGTCGATGGCATAAATATGCCACCATACACATCAATAAAGAAAGAAACACTTGAATATTTTTACTATGAATTTTATTATAAGGTTGATTATCTTTGAAAAATGAAACTTCATTTTTCTTTGAGTAGGAAGAAAAAAATAATTAGAATGTACATGTGCAATTAATTTTGTTTATTAAAAATATTCAAAATTTGGAGCTCTTTTGACAGGTATCTAATTATTGATTTGTAAATTTTTACTTTATTTTTAAACATAATAATCTTTATTATAACATATGCTTAACAACTTATTCGTTGTTGAACATTCCATTGTCTGTCTAAATGTAGTGCTTTGTAAATTTCGTGTTTATACAAACATTATTGCATGTTGTTTGTTTACTTTTTTTTTCAATATGAGTCATAATATATAATTTGTGTGCAGTTTAAATAATTTTTGTTGAATTCAGTTATCAGAAAAATAAATAACTGAAAATAATTATGTAGATACATTGATTCTATCGTGGCCAATGCATATAAAAAATTAGGTCTACTTAAAAAACTGCAATTCAGGGTCAGTGCTAAAACTTTATCTCTTTTATATACTACTTTTACTTTTATACTTTTATAAGACCTCAGTTAGAATACGCAACTGAAGTTTGGTGTGGGTGTTCTAGTCAAGATTCCGAAAAATTAGAAAAATTACAACTTGCAGCGGCAAGAATAGTCACTGGGTTAACTTCATTAGCATCGCGAGATTCTCTTTATTTTGAAACTGGTTGGGAACCACTTGCTGTAAGACGAATTTCCAAAGTTAGAACAACTATGTATAAAATATATAATAATATGGTACCCGAGTATCTGAAAGATATATTTCCAAATATTCGATCACAAGAATCAAATTACATAACAAAACAGTCACAAAATTATTGCATCCCTAAGTGTAGATTAAATATATATAAATCATCATTTGTTCCAATAGCAATAAGGGAGTGGAACTCTTTGTCTCTTGAAACACGACAATCTACTACTATAGGTTCCTTCAAAAAATGTGTAAACTCTCAGAGAACACCCACCCCGTCCTTTTTTACTTTTGGTGATCGTTACTGGAGTGTAATTCATACTAGTTTAAGACACAATTGTGTTCTAAATAAAGACTTATTTAGATGTAATATTATTGACAGTCCATTATGCACTTGTGGAAAATAGAAGACGCATATGATTTCTTTTTCTCTTGTACGAAACACACTGCTCCAAGAAACGACTTGTTCAATGCTATTTTTAGAATGATTAACTTGCGTATTGTAGACACTCATGTTCTGTTATGGGGAGATAATTCGATCAGTATTTCTGAAAATGAAAGTTTATTTTTAAATGTGCAATTGTTTATCAAGAGATCTGGTCGTTTTTTTAGTATTTTGATTCATTTGTACATACTACATCAATTTTAAATTCTGTACATGCATTACTTATGTTTAATAATCTTATTGACCTTTGGTTCCAGTGTAAATTAATTTTTGAACAAAACTTTGTGTAATTAATTGTTATAAAGGAGAAGACGTTCTAAGTATTAAGTACTTGTGTCCAATCCTTTTGTTGTAAGATCTTAACAATAAAATATGTTCAAACCAACAGAAATGTCAGGGTCAATAATTATTTATTGGACGTTTTATATATTATTTTGACCTTACATCTTACATACGATACCATGAAAAACTGTCTAGAATAAGAAATAAGAAACTTATAAAGCTGAAAAATGGAATTTTCCTGTTGCTTAGCAACCATTTAAAGGCCATTGAACATAAATCTAAAAAAATATGTGGATATTGCAATTCAGTATGCTGCCTTCTAAGTGCATTCAGAATTTTATTCTTATGCATCCATTTTTACAAAATTTAAGCAAGGAAGATAAAAACTTTTAGGGAAATTTTCTAAAATTATGCACTTATTTGACCTTTGACCTTCACAAAAATTAATGTAATGAGGTCAAACTTTAAGACAATTATCTGATTTATATTCTTTTCAGTATTATTACCCAATATTTGACTCTAAAACGTAATAGAAGGTATAAATGTGTCTGGGATGAGCAAAAAAAACGAGAAATACTGCCTGGAAATTGAAAAATACTCCGTGGCCGAGCAACCTCTTTGAAGTCATTTTTTGCAGAATTCAAAAAAATTATGTGTTTAATGTAGTGTAGCATAATGCCCTTTTGTGGGTTTATTCTGAATATTCTATTTCAATGTAGATCACTGTAAAGTTTAAACTTGAAGATTAAAATGTGTCAAAAAATCCAATAAAATTCGGAACTTATTTGACCTTTGACCTCAATTTCAACTAGCAATGTCAGTAGTGATGTACGTGGGTAGTTATGAAATATCATTTCCAGAACATTCCCTACAAAATGGTATGTATTAAGCCAGATTACTCTTGGAATAAAAAAGTTATAAGGATATGTCAAAAGGTCTGCAAAAAGGCTTAAAATGTGCCGGTAGAGAAAGGGTTAATTAAGAACTTTTTTTCGAGATTTGAAACAAATTTGTTCGTCGGTATGTAATTGCATTTGTAATGGAAGAAACGTAATTTGCATCGGGGAAGATGTTGAATTTTGCGCTGGTTTATTGATTACCTCTCTGGTGAGGGTTGTAATTAAACCTTTTATGTTCGAAATATCAAAGGATTAATGTTGGAATTGAACATATTTTATTGTAATATACATAAACAATGGGATTGGGCGCAAGTTCTCAAAACTTATTTCGCCCTCTCCCTATAATGGAAAGTTTAAAGTTTAAGCTGCATATGTGTTACACAATTTTAGAAAAAAATATTAATAAATTCACAACATGATTAATGATAAACTGCAAGGACGTAAGAAGTGTACGAATGCTATACACAATCATGTACAAAATATCTTTACAATCTGTCAGACTGCTGAATATATGAATGTACAATGGAAAATAGATATTCATTTTCAGCAACAATCAAAGAAGAATCGCCCTACAGTAACGTATTGGTGTCAACAATGTAACCTAATCGAATCTCATAAACTTGTCGAAAAATTCTTTCCTGGCCTCAGTATAGTAAGAACAAGAGAAAAAATAAGGTGAGTGTCTTCTACTTTTCCACAAGAACATGATGGACTTGATATAATGCTACTCCTATAAAGATCAATATTTAATGCACAGTTATGCACAGTTATGTCGAAGTCTGGTGTGTAATATATCATTACGTCTTTTTCCGAAACTGAAATAAGGTGGAGCTACTGCAATTTTTTTGCAATTGTTCTTTTAAAGGTAGATAGTGAGCCCGAGATTCTAAATTCTAGCGATAATGAATTACATTACTACAGTTGGTACAAATGATGATTTATTAGTTTGCAATCTACACATGGGTATATTATATATAGTTTTGAGAGTTTCTTGGTGTATAAATGGAAACGTTGAAACGCAAATCAGGTATAATATCACAGAGATAATCATGAACTTAATTATTATGAATTTTATACATAGTATGCAATCTATGTAACTTGCGTCTATCACTTAGTGGCTCCCAGCCAGTTTCGAAATAAAAAGACTCTCTAGACGCTCATATAATCAGACCAGTTACAATACGGGCTGCTTGTAGTTGTAATGTTTTCAGAATCTGACATTGAACAACCTCTCCACACAACTGACGCATATGGAATTATGGTTAAGTTTGTTGGGAATGCCAAGGTTTTAACAATAGTTGGAAACGAGGGATAATTTATGCATAACTATCAAAACTTGATATGCATAAATTATCCCAGTTTCCAACAATCGTTGATGTCCCTGTCATACTCAACAAACTCGACAGTGATTTTATTTTATTTACATTTATACATGCAATAAAAGTGTAAGACTTTCACTTTTACGGCGCTTGGAGCCGGAATAGTGATTCCCAAGGATTACGTCCATGCTTTAACACAACAACATACTAAGTTTGATCATTCTAAACCTCTCGTCATTTAAAATATTCATTTAAAGACAATTTTTACGCTTTACACGTTTTTGTGCCTTTTTAAAGTGTTTTAACATGAATTTTGGCGCTCATGAAATCCGTGATAATGTAAAACTACATAATTATAATCTATACGATCAACATGTACATGTAGATGCAGTACACATATACCTATGAAAACGGCTAAAATGGGTCATAACAGATAACGCCTTTGTTATTTTCTTCTATAGAGATCATTTAATTTTTTGGACGTTAATCTTGAAAAAAATAAACACGGTACTGTTTTTCCGTAAGGAAGTTCTTTGAGAGGTAGATTTGATTTTATCTGTTATACTTTCAAATTCAAATCTTTACTTTCCAAAGGATGGGATCCCTACTGAGATTAAGTCAAATTTAACTCTGAAGAACATCGAGAATTTTATTCGAAAGGAACAAAATCCCGAGTTTTCTTTTACGATACAATTTTATCTTAAGATTTTATTGTTAACAGCTAAAAAGGATAAAAGTAGCAGAATAAGACATGCTTAAATACAAAACATCATATGATTAAAAAAAAAACTTTCTATAATGTATCAATTTAAGATTTTATCTTGTAAATGTTCAGCAGATATTTTTTTTTTAAAAATCTTTCAGAGCTAAAATTGATTGATTTATTTTTTTTATTATTACAATATAGCAGTGTAACTCACACGTTTTTTGAACTGCCTCTCTGACTGTCTTAATTCTATCTACAATCGCCTCATTCCACTCCACCATGACATGACGTAGGACGTCTAATCCAAGTCTTTGGAAAAATAAATCCTCTAAACTCTCCGGTAGGAACAAGACTTTTTTCGTGCATATGTGATATACATCATCATACCACCACGGTCGTATGTACTCCAACAACGAGTCCACTGATGAGAACTTGATATAATTCTCGTAGTCCTCATCAGTTACAAGACAATTCTTTATAAAGTAACTCATCACCTGATGGCGAACATAATCTGATATAAAACTGACTGAGTTGTTCTTCTTGATTAAAACTTTATGAATATCAGTCAATTCAGTGATATCACTGTCTAACATTATTGACCCACACCTTAATAAAGGGAAAGAACTTTGAACTTTTGTTAATAATTCCTCCCAAGGTGAGCTTAAGGATAAACTGTAACCCTCTGGCATGAGAATAGAAACCAAAATGCTCCATTTCGTCCGAGAAAGTGCGAGATCATCCAATGCTGAAATAAAAATGGTTTATCATTATACATGACCGTATGTTAATTTGAAATGTACTTTTTCCAGAAACTTCTATCATTTGCAGACAAAGATATCGCAACATTAATTAAGTTTCAATATAGATGGTTTCTTTTTTTTTTTTTGTCCTTCGAGATCGATTTCTGATCTTTTTTTTTATATTTTACCTTTTCATGCAGTACACAAAAGAAGAAAATATAATGAAAATGCATTGCTATATAATATTCGATATCTTTCTTTGTTCTCTTATTTTTAAGTACAAGTATATTTCATTATCTCAACATCGGTGGGACGATCGTAAAATGGCGAGATATTAGGGTTGTTGTCGAGATATCATTATTGACTTCAGTGTATTGCAAAACAGACAAGTTTATGACATAGATTACATGATTTCAATGCATAGCTTATTACAACAATCCCTATATTTTGGTTACGAAATCTAAGAGGTTATTTTTGAAATATTGTTTTAAAAGGTATTCTACCTTTGTATTAAAATGTTTCTAAAATCGATACGTTAAACAAGCATTCTGCGCTTTACTTGGAATTTTGTCAGAACATGATACCAAATCACTTTATAAAACTTCGAGCCGTAAAAAACTAGTCTCTAAGATACAGAAAATGATTTTTTTAAATAAATATTTAAAGCCGCTTAACCCGAAACAGGCGAATTTATCTTACACAATAAAAGTACCTCATTACATAGATAATATATAAAAATAAATTATAAGATTGATTCAATAGTTTATAACAACAATCCTTACATGAAAAATGCAAATCAAAAACCTTATTGACAAACAGTAGTGCCTGACGGAAGTTAAGATCTGTTGTGAAGTCAATTTTGAAAATAATAAGTTTATCGGATATATCTAATAATGAAGAAAATTCAAACCCGAGTGTTTTTTTTCTCTATATAGTAGAAGCCTTAGTCATAATACATCTTTTCAAAATTAAGAAATTTATTGAATATAATACATAGTAACTTTTATATTTAATATGCATATTTTAAGAATAAAGGAAAAATCAGATATTTAAAATGATTTTTATAAAGAAACTAAACTTTTGTCCGTGTACAGGTAATACATGTACTTTGTTGTGAAAAAATGCTCGGGTTTGTTCTTCATGATATAAACATGCAAGCGATAAATTTATTTTTTCGAAGGTGATTTCACGCGATATCAACAATAATCAACACAGGATTATTTTTTGTGTGACCTTACAAAAGTCATTTTTTCAACTTTTGAATTTTGATATCTTTTAAAAGAAAAAGACTTTGGGGATATAAATTGACCAAAGTTCAAATAATTTATGGACAATTATTTTTCAAGAAGAAAAACGAATGTATATTTTTAGCGAAAAGAATCGGACCAAGCGGCTTTAAAAATTTGAGCTAACACATCTATAGCGATTTTACATATAAATTCATAAACAAGCTAGTACCTTTCATATATGCATACAAATGTGTTCTTCGAATTTGGTAGCAGTGAGTTGTAATATAATCGTGCATTATAATTTCTGAGAAACCGAGTAAAACATTTTCATCTTTATTGTGAAAAAAAGTTGAAAAGAGATAAAAGGAGAGTAATTTGATTGTTAATGGGATGGTGTGAAAAGAAAAAACGTATCATAGATATGTAGAATTCTGTGCGGAGGAAACTAAATAATTCATTTTGTATATCAGCTTTGCAAAATAGAGTAAATGGAACAGAAAAAAATAGTTTCCTGTATTATATTTTGAGTGCCCCCCCTTTTTACAACACCATTGCAAGGTGTTTAATTTTTTCGAATAAAATATTCTGAGTATTAATGACAATTAATAAGTATTGTTCTCTATTTGAATATATGAAAATCTTCAAGAAAAAAAAAACATATTTATTCAAGATCAAAAGATTTTTCAGAACAAATTTCAAATTTAGGAATTATATAATAATAATAATGATATCCTTTATTCATACAGTATTTCACATTATTTAACAACAAAATTTTGTACAGAATCATATGAATATAAAGCAAGTAGAATATGAAATTAATATTAACACATGGTAAAAAAAATATTTATTTAGCATTAGTATAATCATTCTAATGGAAAGAAATACGAATTGAAGTCTAAGAATAAATTCTGTATGTGGGATTAAAATCTGTTTCTTTTGGGTAGCAAAGAGTCCCCAAGAGTTTGACTTTAGGGTGGAAAATTTTATTTTATAAAGGATTTTATAGAGCCAGGTATTAAGATTCCTTGACAAAGCGTATTTATTTCCTCAGTAAAACAAATCATTCAGTCTCTAGTACATTCTTAGTAAGGTGTGGTGAATAAAATCATTAATATTAGTTTCTTTATTTAAGCATTGCTGAGTCATTTTTTAAGAATGACCTTTCACAACTACAATGGTGAGCGCAAACAAAGTGAGTAAATGCGTAAACGTGTGGAACCCCGTGATATTCTAAAAACGTGTCTTTACGAAAAAAATACTCACTCTATATACATGTTTAAATTAAGTATTGTTACCAAAGGGAAGAAGCTTCCCTTTTGGATTAAATATAATTTAAAAAGGAAAATTTGGGAAAGATAAATTTACTGTGATGGTGCATTACCCGAATTCCTTCGGTAGGGGCTAGAAAAAAGGTAAGAATTTAGAAACAGGCGTTAACGGGGTTTGTGGTTTATATATATATATATATATATATATATATATATATATATATATATATATATATATATATATATATATATATCACAGGGTTTCACGTGTTAATAAATTACTTACAGTTTGCTCTCACCATTGCAGTTGTGCAACTTCATTCTTCAAAGAATGATAGACATATCCTTATCAACTCACCTTCTTTCTCTTTGCCTGTCTCTCGTCCAATAAGGTATGAGCCAAGCAGACTATTCAGATTCAATGACTTTAAAGATTTATGTTCACATTTCATGATCTCATCCACATATTGTTTGAATTCACTGAACTCATCAATGTCGTCATCGTTGTCTACCATATCAACCACCTGACGAGGAAGATTCACTAAAAACAGTTGTATCCTATTGAATATTTTGGAATAGTTAGCGAATTATGTTTTTAAAATTAGAATAAACAAGCAAATTTCAAGAATTATGGTCCCCCGCTTTCGGTATCTTTGTGGGCAAGATATCATTTTTTGGGTCAAGGTCAATAGGTCAAAGTTTTTGGTATCCCATGAAAGGTCTTGCCATAAAGAATACATATATTTAAAATATGAACGTCCTAGTTTCTACCGTTCAAAAGTTGTGACCAAGCTTAACGTTTTTAAAAAGTAATTAAAACTCCAAGGTCAAGGTCAAAGGGTCAAAGTTCTTGGCATGTAATGAAAGGTCTTCTCACAAGGATTACATACGTGAAGTACAAAAGCCCTAGCCCTTACCGTTTAACAGTTATGGTCAAGGTTAAAGCTTTTTCAGAAGTACGTTTATCTCCAAGGTCAAGGTCCAAAAGTCAAAGTTGTTGGTATCCAATGAAAGGTATTGTTTCTAAGAATACATGTGTGAAATATAAAAGTCCTTGTATCTACCGTTCAAAAGTTGTGACCAAGGTTATAATTTTTAAAAAGAAGTTAAAACTCCAAGGTCAAGGTCAAAAGGTCAAAGTTCTTGGTATCCAATAAAAGGTCTTCTTACAAGAATAACATATGTGAAGTAATAAAGCCGTAGCCCTTATCGTTCAAAAATTATGGTCAAGGATATAGTTTTTTCATAAGTACGTAAATTTCCTAGGTCAAGGTCAAAAGGTCAAAGTTTTTGGTATTCTGTCACAAAGTATAAATATGTGAAATATGAAAGTCCTAGTACCTACCATTCAAAAGTTATGGCCAAAGTAAAAGTTTGGAATTTTTTAGTAAAAGTAGTTAAAACTCCAAGGTCAAGGTCAAAAGGTCAAATTTGGTGGTTCCCAAAGAAAGGTCTTATCACAAGGAATACACATATGAAATATGAAAATCATAGCTCCACTAAATCAAAACTTATGGGCAATGTTAATGTTTTTGTGACGGACGGACAGACTGACGGACAGACAGACGGACCGACGGACAGACGAATGAGATTTAATGTCCCCTTGCTTTCGCGAAAGCGGGGCCTTATCGTTCAAAAATTATGGTCAAGGATTAGTTTTTTCATAAGTACGTAAATTTCCAAGGTCAAGGTCAAAAGGTCGAAGTTATTGGTATTCATTGAAAGGTCTTGTCACAAAGTATAAATTTGTGAAATATGAAAGTCTTAGTACCCACCATTCAAAAGTTATGGCCAAAGTAAAAGTTTGGAATTTTTTAGTAAAAGTAGTTGAAACTACAAGGTCAAGGTCAAAAGGTCAAATTTGGTGGTACCCAAAGAAAGGTCTTATCACAAGGAATATACATATGAAATATGAAAATCATAGCTCCACTAAATCAAAACTTATGGGCAAGGTTAAAGTTTTTGTGACGGACGGACAGACTGACGGATAGACAGACGGACAGACGATTGAGATTTAATGTCCCCTCGCTTTCGCGAAAGCGGGGGACAAAAACTTAGATGTAATAGGTATTAGGTATATCTTTAACATGAATGTTATGCGCTGTAAAACAAAATAAATACTTACATATATTTAAACCATCCTCATATATTTTTGAATATTTTGAACATGTGTGAAAAAAGCAAACAAAGTCCAATCCAAATTTCAAGACAATATCAGAAATCTCACTGCTACATAATATTGTTTCCTGTATGTTAGTCATATACGGAACGCATTTTCTCAAAACTTCCGGCGGTGTCACTTTGAAGAATTTGTCATAATCGTTGTTGAACGTCAGGCATTGAAAAGCCCAGCCACGTTCCCAGAATCCATTAGTATTCACATAACACATTACAACATTTTCAATCATGTTTACAAAAGGATGTGTTCCTATCTTTGATTTAATGGTAAGAATGTCTTTTTCTCTTGATCTGTGTTTCATTTTATAGGTCTGCCTGATGTTTGTAAGTCTCCCATACCAGTCAGTGCTGTTTAAATCAATACGTCCATCCTCCGAAAGGATCATACAGTACAGGAGGCTACGATCTAGACAAAGTATAAAAAAGAAACATTTACCTTTACTTAATATTATACTGTTTATGATGTAGAATATTTCTATTCAATTCATTATAGAAATAAATATTTACAACTATTACTATGTTTGATTTCAAGATTTTATGAATGAATAAAACATCTCTAAAATTTTGTTTGTACATGTATGTAATTCATTGTAAGCAATCATATTATGATAAAATTACCAGCATCATCGTCCTCCGTTTTCTCAATGTATGAATCCTCGTCGCCACTACCTTCCTGCATTTCATTGTTACCCAATTTACCAATGCAGGAATCACTTTCTAAATCTGATGAAACAGACTGAGTTGCACGGTAGACTTCCGAAATTTCAGAACTGCCTATTCTTAAGCGTTTTTGCGAAAATGCCTTTAAAGAAAATAAATATTGTCAAAATGATATTGTAACAGTCACTTAAAAACACGTAAGTATTCACTCCAATAAATGTTTTAAGTTTTCAATCACTTGATAGAATATCTAACTTGAAATACTATAGTAAACTTTGATAGTAATTCAAAGTTTGGAAGATTTCACTATAGTTAATAAAAGTTCCAAAGTGTTCACTATATAAAATCAAAGTTCAAAGTTGTCAAAATTAATAGTAAATCAAGTCATGTGATTCTTAAATATAGTAAATCAAAGTTTCAAAGACTTCATTATCTATAGTAAATTAAAGTTCCAAAGTTTAATAATTGTAAATCAATTTTTTAAAGCTTTTACCATAGTAATCAAAGGTTCAAAATTTTTAATTACTAGGTACTATGCTAAATTATTGTTTTCTATAGTTTACTGTAGTATTCCTTTTTTATGGATTGTATATTTCAAATTATTACAACCAATATGTCTCCTTAACAATTGTCCAAAGAAAATACTGTCTAGGCCTCTACTTCAACAGAGCTACTGCGGCAGCCTTCTATTCAGAAAAAAAAAACTTTATATCACAACGAAACAATGCCTTGCAGTATCTTAAATGAGAGGTAGTCTAACTCCATACTGATTATCATTTTTTGAATTCTCACTTGAAGGTTAGAACATGGTGCACTTTGGTGCAATGCTTTCAAATGTTGAGATTCTTACATGAAAGTAACACAGCCTTCAGACTAATATTTGCATGATTAACTCTGGATTTAAATTTAATTAATTTCCATTTGTAAACATTTGTTCTTTATAGCTTCAAAATTGTCAAATGAACACTTTTTTGTTTAGTATAGATTCAATACGTATGTCATATGCTAGTATATACATGTAAAAACGACAGTTTAAACATAAATGAATCTTATGCAGTGTACTAATTAACACACAGAATCTTATGCAGTGTACTAATTAAAGCCCTTCAGGCGCAATGAATATTGTACTCTTCAAGGGACTAGATCATCGTATTGACCTCAAAAACAGCACTAATTGTATAGTATTCAAGATCAAAAGTCCATTAAATAATACAAAATGTGATCAGAACAAACACGGACCTACAACAAATTAACGACCATGTGCCATTGCCTGCTGACCTGCAACACTCGCCGTGTGCTCCTTCTCATTATCGGGAAATTATGAAAAAAATTCGTTGACAATTCAGTGTGTATAAAAATATAATGGTCTTACAACTAGTATGAAAAACATCAGTCAGCATTGGACCTAATGATAATTTGTATTTGCTGACAAGGTCATCGTATTGAACATAAAACTTTCGAAATGATGACTTTTAACTTAACTGTTGACATTCTTGTTTCACCAAGGTATCGTCAATAATCTACAACATTTACACAACATTTCAATTTTTTTTCTTAAAAAGGGAAGGCTTTAAGTTGATGTTGGAAAAGATTGCTTGATCGAAATTCTAAGTCAATTTTTTTTAATACTATATAGAAAGTATTATGGGCATTATTTTAACTACCTTTAATTTTTATCACAAAATGTACACCAGGTGTATACTAAGGAGAGAAGTAAGTACAGATAGATTTCTAAAATGAACAGAATTTTGTTTTTTTCTGATTTTTTCTGTTTTTGTTTTGACAATATTGCACATAAATATGAATGGCACGCCAAATTCACAAAAATGAGTTTAATAAACATAGTTTCACAGTCAATAAACTAGGTTTATCGGTTGTAACTATAGTTAACGAACTGTAAACTATAGTCAACAAAGTTAATCTATATTTTACATCTCAAAACCATAGTTAACGCGATAATCTATGTTTCACAACCGTAAACTATACTTAACACCATAAAATATTTGTAATTGCAAATCATAGATTATCTGATAAATACAGTTTCCTGATTTGTTAAATATAGTTTACAAATCGTTAACTATAGTTAACGATCTGATAAATAAAATTTCACGATTTGTGAAACTATAATTAACAACTCTTAACTATAGTTTACGATTGTAAACTATAGTTTACAAACGTGAATCTATGTTTATCAACAAAATCTATTGTTTACGTTTATTACAGACAGATAAACTTAGATTAGCATCGGAAAACTATAGTTAACAGCCGTTAAATATAGTTTTACAAATGAAAACTATACTTTGCGAATCGTTAACTATAGTTTACAGTCCATAAACCTAGTTTATCAATTGTGAAACTAGGTTTAGCTCATTTTTGTGAATTCAGCGTGCCAAAAAAATGTTTTATGCAGTGTATGAGGAAGTCACTAAATAGAGATTGAGCCATCAAATATCAACCTGCACTAGGCATATAAAGGCACAAGTAGAGTGATATTACCCCTTGCCGAAAGGCTCTGTGTAAAAATAGTGAGGTATAAAATCACATCGAGTCGTAAAAGAATATAAAATTTTAGTGTTTCAACATTTCTATGTACTATGTAATTTTAGAATAAACTGAAATTTTGATACAAGTTTGGCTTTCCAGAAAGCCTGAAAAGTCATCTCTTTGGCTCCATTTGTGTCAAAGAATAAACAGTGGAATGTAACATTTTTCTATATAAGACAGATGATTTTTTAGGGGAATGCTAATTAGATATTGAACAGGAAAAAGGGTAGTTTTCAAACTCCAAAGTCGTATGTTGTAGATGGGAAGGAAATGTTTAAACTTTTTTATTATTTCTGAGAAGCAATTTATTTGGGGAAAACATGACATTACTAAAAGAAAAAGTAAAGATAAGGGAGGGACTTGCATTGAACATGCATTTACAACAGTAAAAGGTTAAAGGGCCGGGCTGGGACTCAGATTTGAAGAAAATATATTTTTTCTGAAATTTTCTAAATCAATGCTTAAGCATTTAACGCTGAAATATATATAAATCGTGTTTAGAAACCTCTTTTATTTGGAAAATCCTAAAACTACTAACTTTGGGAGTTGGGACACGTTTGTTTGACACGTATTCTCATACTTTTGTACGTGAAAGGAATATAATCTTCTTCATAAGCATGTTTCTAACATTTTTACAAGTACATTTGGATATCAATTTTAAATATGCTCAACATAAATGAATGAATAGGCAATTCATTTCATACCTTCGTATTATTCAGATAGAATCCATAAGCAATTAATATTTTTGAATGTTTTTTAAAATCACATAATATTATGATAACTGAAAGAATTTTAGATGCATTTGTATTTCTTAATTTATTTAAAACACACTTAAAATTGTAACAACAGCTGACCAAGCCCTACTTGGCGCTTTTAAGTAGAGGTAATTCAGTAGTAAAATTTAAATGATAACAGATAAAATTAAGCATTCACGATTTATCTGGAAAAAAAGTCCATATTTGCCAGCCCTGAATTTACGACTGTTGTAGGAATATATTTTGTTTCGCTTCATTTCAATAACATAGAAAAAGTTATTTGATGAATTTTTTGCCATTAATACAATAGGAAATTGCATAAAAAATTATTGCAAGTTCTTTAATTTTATATCATTAAAAAGAAAACTGTAGACATTCAAGAAAATAGTCGATCATAATCTTTGTGAGCTTTCTTTCAATTATCATAGTTTCTTGTCTCTGCTTATCCTCATACATGTATTTTTGGGGAGGGGGTGGCAATAAATTATAGAATGACGACCATAAAAGAAGATTTTGGCATCAATTCATAGCAGTTTTTAGCACAAAATGTAAATGTTTTAACTTTGATGTTGTTTTTCTGTTAATTCTTAGATCCACGCCTAGGCAGATCATTAGTGATTTTTGATTCAACGCGGTGACCTAGTTAGAATATTCCATCAGGCGCAGACCATCGATCATTTACGCAGTAGCCTGTATACAAGTATATGATTAAATAAGTACATATACATTGTATTTTGAACACCATGCAAACAACCAGCAGGCGATCCTGTGTGTCTGACCCTCTGTGATTTCTGTGCAGCCCTTTTTTAGGCGGAAGCGCCTATTACAATTGCCTTGATTTGATGACCTTTCTGACCTCTCTACGTCATGTCAATATTTTGCCCCTATTCATGGTACTCCAAGCGGATGAATCTCGAAATAAGGGCACATAACCGGCACTATTTCTCCTTAGTTTACAACCCCAATATCTACCATTGTTATCTTGTTTAATCAAAATTGAAGTGTATGCTAAGACTTGTCTGAACTACAACATTATTTACTATGATTGATGGATAACAGTCTAGATCGGATTCCAATGTTCTTCACGCATGGAGAGAAGAACGAACAACAACTCAGTTGGTAAACAAAGTAAACAACTGGGGTTCAATATCACGGGGTCCTGATGCAATCTAGAGAAATAATACGAGGGACAAAATAGTTCATGCTGATGTTTATTTTGTAAGAACTAATTTACGAATAAATGTCTAGTGGAACTACCTTTTACTTTTAATCTTTTTAATTAAGAAAAAAGTGGTAATTATTTATAAGTTATTAGTCTTTAATTTAAATACGAACCTTTTTACCACTTCTGCGTAGTTATCTTACATGATAAGATTGCGTCCATTGATGAAAACAGCCTTTGAAAATCGAAGCGTGAAAATTTGTCAACAAACCCATGTGGAATGAAACAAAAGAGCTAATTGGAAGTGATAAGCCTTTTCTTCGACATACACAAGGTAACAAACGTTGTTAGATTAGTTTATCTGTTATCGTTTAACCTTGAAATATGTTTCCCACTCAGCAGGCATGCTCATCGTAACTTGATACGTAACATTGTCTTGATCGCACTTATTATTTCTTGTTTGGCCAGAAGGACTAATTATTTGAGGAGTTATTGTTTGAATATATACATATATAATATATTTGCATATATTATAGACTACTCTTTTAAGCAATCGTTGATCATTGACATAGTGATTCCGAAATAATATCGACATCGAATCGAATAGTTTAAAGCACGAGCTGTTTAAAATGACCAGTATTGTTTACTTAGGTTATTTCATTTTCCTTTTAATCTCATGGCTAGCGTCTTGCTGAAATTGTGTTCACATAATTAATGAATAACAATTATCTGTTGAAATCTATTACAGTATTTGTTCAACCGAATCGTGAAAATCTGTCAACAAACCCACGTGAAGTACAACAAAGAGCTATTCCTTTCCTTCGACATTTACAAGGTAACACACTTTAAATTTAAGTAACTCCTAAACTATTTCTGCATTGCTTTCATAAAATTAATAGGAGTAACTTGAAATAAAACCAAAGGCTTAGGTATATAAATAAATTTGCTGTATAGAAGAAATTCACGAGTTTTACTTTGTTTATGTGTACAACATTACAGGAAAATTTGGAATTATAGCACCAGATCCAGTACAATCAGTACATTTAGCTACGTAGGTAGAATTACCTACGTAGCTTTATTTACCTACCTCAGGTAGCCTGGCACTATGTAAATATGTAGATATGTAAATAAATTTTATTTTTGAAATATGCTTGAAATTTTATAAACACATTACCTGTTTATACTTTAAGATGAATGCAAAGAAACTAGATGACTTTATCCTACAAGAGGGATCAACAACAGCCTTACCTTTATCCCCAAGGAGGAAAAGGCAGGCCATTAAGATTGGTGAATATGTGGAAACTTCACCTTCTGCCACTTCTGAATGACAGAAGGAAACAAAACCCACCACAACATATGAAGTACTAATTTTATGATATTTTATATAAAAATCTATCATAAGTATGAGTGTAAGAATTATGATACATACGGTTGATATTATATATAGGTAACAGATGTTCTTCCTAAAATAATAATTTACAAGCACATGTATTTGAAAGTATTTATGCAAATCAAGGACACTTCTTCTTTCATAATTTTTAGGGTATGACACAGTCATAACTGTTAAAGTTAGACAGACAGATGTGCAAGAAATCTCATTCTGCAAGATGATGGTAATGGTATGATTGTGCCCCAATGGACGGAAAGGGAAAGAAGGATCATTAGGATTGGTGAGTTTGTGGAAATAACACACAATGTCCCTTCTGATCAGAATGGCAGAAGAAAACATAACTAGAAACATTATTCTGAAGGTGGGTATATTTAAATCAGATTATGACATGCTGATTATGATATGATATCTCATGAAGAAAAATCTATAAGTATGTGTATAAGAATTATTATAGAAA